CTACTACTACTACTACTACTGCTGCTGCGGTTACCACTACTACTACTGCTGCGGTTACTACTACTACTACTACTACTGCTGTGGTTACTACTACTACTACTACTACTGCTGTGGTTACTACTACTACTACTACTACTGCTGTGGTTACTACTACTACCACTACTGCTACGATTACCACTACTGCTGCGATTACTGCTGCGATTACTGCTGCGATTACAACTACTGCTGCGATTACAACTACTGCTGCGATTACAACTACTGCTGCGATTACAACTACTACTACTGCGGTTACCAATACTAATACTACTACTACCACTACTGCTGCGATTACAACTACTGCTGCGATTACTGCTGCGATTACAACTACTGCTGCGATCACTGCTGCGATTACAACTACTACTACTGCGGTTACCACTACTAATACTACTACTACCACTACTGCTGCGATTACTGCTGCGATTACAACTACTGCTGCGATTACAACTACTGCTGCGATTACAACTACTGCTGCGATTACAACTACTGCTGCGATTACAACTACTGCTGCGATTACTGCTGCGATTACAACTACTGCTGCGATTAATGCTGCGATTACCACTACTGCTGCGATTACAACTACTGCTGCGATGACTGCTGCGATTACCCCTACTGCTGCGATTACTACTACTGCTGCGATTACAACTACTGCTGCGATTACCACTACTGCTGCGATTACAACTACTGCTGCGATTACAACTACTACTGCGATTACAACTACTGCTGCGATTACTGCTGCGATTACCACTACTGCTGCGATTACAACTACTGCTGCGATGACTGCTGCGATTACCCCTACTGCTGCGATTACTACTACTCCTGCGATTACAACTACTGCTGCGATTACAACTACTGCTGCGATTACAACTACTGCTGCGATTACAACTACTGCTGCGATTACAACTACTGCTGCGATTACTGCTGCGATTACAACTACTGCTGCGATTAATGCTGCGATTACCACTACTGCTGCGATTACAACTACTGCTGCGATGACTGCTGCGATTACCCCTACTGCTGCGATTACTACTACTGCTGCGATTACAACTACTGCTGCGATTACCACTACTGCTGCGATTACAACTACTGCTGCGATTACAACTACTACTGCGATTACAACTACTGCTGCGATTACTGCTGCGATTACCACTACTGCTGCGATTACAACTACTGCTGCGATGACTGCTGCGATTACCCCTACTGCTGCGATTACTACTACTGCTGCGATTACAACTACTGCTGCGATTACCACTACTGCTGCGATTACAACTACTGCTGCGATTACAACTACTGCTGCGATTACTACTACTGCTGCGATTACAACTACTGCTGCGATTACTGCTGCGATTACAACTACTGCTGCGATCACAACTACTGCTGCAATTACAACTACTGCTGCGATCACAACTACTGCTGCGATTACAACTACTGCTGCAATTACCACTACTGCTGCGATTACTGCTGCGATTACAACTACTGCTGTGATCACAACTACTGCTACTGCTGCGATTACAACTACTGCTGCGATTACCACTACTGCTGCGATTACAACTACTGCTGCGATTACAACTACTGCTGCGATTACTGCTGCGATTACCACTACCGCTGCGATTACAACTACTGCTGCGATGACTGCTGCGATTACCCCTACTGCTGCGATTACTACTACTGCTGCGATTACAACTACTGCTGCGATTACCACTACTGCTGCGATTACAACTACTGCTGCGATTACAACTACTGCTGCGATTACTACTACTGCTGCGATTACAACTACTGCTGCGATTACTGCTGCGATTACAACTACTGCTGCGATCACAACTACTGCTGCGATTACAACTACTGCTGCGATTACCACTACTGCTGCGATTACTGCTGCGATTACCACTACTGCTGCGATTTACTGCTGCGATTACAACTACTGCTGTGATCACAACTACTGCTGCAATTACAACTACTGCTGCGATTACCACTACTGCTGCGATTACTGCTGCGATTACAACTACTGCTGCGATTACCACTACTGCTGCGATTACTGCTGCGATTACCACTACTGCTGCGATTACAACTACTGCTGCGATTACTACTGCGATTACAACTACTGCTGCGATTACAACTACTGCTGCGATTATCACTACTGCTGCGATTACCACTACTGCTGCGATTACAACTACTGCTGCGATTACTGCTGCGATTACAACTACTGCTGCGATTACAACTACTGCTGCGATTACAACTACTGCTGCGATTACCACTACTGCTGCGATTACAACTACTGCTGCGATTACCACTACTGCTGCGATTACCACTACTGCTGCGATTACAACTACTGCTGCGATTACAACTACTGCTGCGATTACTGCTGCGATTACAACTACTGCTGCGATTACAACTACTGCTGCGATTACAACTACTGCTGCGATTACAACTACTGCTGCGATTACCACTACTGCTGCAATTACAACTACTGCTGCGATTACCACTACTGCTGAGATTACAACTACTGCTGCGATTACAACTACTGCTGCGATTACAACTACTGCTGCGATTACAACTACTGCTGCGATTACAACTACTGCTGCGATTACAACTACTGCTGCGATTACCACTACTGCTGCGATTACTGCTGCGATTACAACTACTGCTGCGATTACAACTACTGCTGCGATTACAACTACTGCTGCAATTACAACTACTGCTGCGATTACAACTACTGCTGCGATTACCACTACTGCTGCGATTACAACTACTGCTGCGATTACCACTACTGCTGCGATTACCACTACTGCTGCGATTACAACTACTGCTGCGATTACAACTACTGCTGCGATTACTGCTGCGATTACAACTACTGCTGCGATTACAACTACTGCTGCGATTACAACTACTGCTGCGATTACAACTACTGCTGCGATTACCACTACTGCTGCAATTACAACTACTGCTGCGATTACCACTACTGCTGCGATTACAACTACTGCTGCGATTACAACTACTGCTGCGATTACCACTACTGCTGCGATTACAACTACTGCTGCGATTACCACTACTGCTGCGATTACTACTACTGCTGCGATTACAACTACTGCTGCGATTACCACTACTGCTGCGATTACTGCTGCAATTACAACTACTGCTGCAATTACAACTACTTCTGCGATTACAACTACTGCTGCAATTACAACTACTGCTGCGATTACAACTACTGCTGCAATCACAACTACTGCTGCGATTACAACTACTGCTGCGATTACTGCTGCGATTACAACTACTGCTGCGATCACAACTACTGCTGCGATCACAACTACTGCTGCGATCACAACTACTGCTGCGATTACAACTACTGCTGCGATTACAACTACTGCTTCGATTACAACTACTGCTGCGATTACCACTACTGCTGCGATTACAACTACTGCTGCGATTACTGCTGCGATTACCACTACTGCTGCGATTACTGCTGCGATTACAACTACTGCTGCGATTACTACTACTGCTGCGATTACAACTACTGCTGCGATTACCACTACTGCTGCGATTACTGCTGCAATTACAACTACTGCTGCAATTACAACTACTTCTGCGATTACAACTACTGCTGCAATTACAACTACTGCTGCGATTACAACTACTGCTGCAATCACAACTACTGCTGCGATTACAACTACTGCTGCGATTACTGCTGCGATTACAACTACTGCTGCGATCACAACTACTGCTGCGATCACAACTACTGCTGCGATCACAACTACTGCTGCGATTACAACTACTGCTGCGATTACAACTACTGCTTCGATTACAACTACTGCTGCGATTACCACTACTGCTGCGATTACAACTACTGCTGCGATTACTGCTGCGATTACCACTACTGCTGCGATTACTGCTGCGATTACAACTACTGCTGCGATTACTGCTGCGATTATTGCTGCGATTACAACTACTGCTGCGATTACTGCTGCGATTACAACTACTGCTGCGATTACAACTACTGCTGCGATTACTGCTGCAATTACAACTACTGCTGCGATTACTGCTGCAATTACAACTACTGCTGCGATTACAACTACTGCTGCGATTACAACTACTGCTGCGATTATCACTACTGCTGCGATTACTGCTGCGATTACAACTGCTGCTGCGATTACTGCTGCGATTACAACCACTGCTGCGATTACTACTACTGCTGCGATTACACTACTGCTTCGATTACAACTACTGCTGCGATTACCACTACTGCTGCGATTACAACTACTGCTGCGATTACTGCTGCGATTACCACTACTGCTGCGATTACTGCTGCGATTACAACTACTGCTGCGATTACTGCTGCGATTATTGCTGCGATTAACAACTACTGCTGCGATTACTGCTGCGATTACAACTACTGCTGCGATTACAACTACTGCTGCGATTACTGCTGCGATTACAACTACTGCTGCGATTACTGCTGCAATTACAACTACTGCTGCGATTACAACTACTGCTGCGATTACAACTACTGCTGCGATTATCACTACTGCTGCGATTACTGCTGCGATTACAACTGCTGCTGCGATTACTGCTGCGATTACAACCACTGCTGCGATTACTACTACTGCTGCGATTACCACTACTGCTGCGATTACTACTACTGCTGCGATTACAACTACTGCTGCGATTACTGCTGCGATTACTGCTGCGATTACTGCTACTGCTGCGATCACCACTACTGCTGCGATTACAACTTCTGCTGCGATTACAACTGCTGCTGCGATTACTGCTGCGATTACAACTACTGCTGTGATTACTGCTGCGATTACAATAGGTACCTTTCTAATTATTGTTTTTTGTTAATTAAAAAATAAATCTTATTCCATCAGTGTTCTCTCAGTGTGGACCCGATGGAGCCGACACTCGCAGAATGAGAAACGGCGGCGCGGTGACGTCAGTGCTTCTTCCGTGGACTCAGCACATTTGGCCTTTTAGTGCAAATGAGCCGTGTGCGCCGCGGCTCCGCACAAAAGCCATCTCCGCTGCAGCAAAAAGAGATGCAGTCATTTATACGCCATACGTCTGGAAGAGCTGCGGCAGGTGGAAGAGCCATAACATTACATAATGGATCAAAAAAGGACAGAGATGACTCAAAAAATGCTTTAGAAATCTCCAAAAAAGGTCAATATTCAGTGGAAATGTGTCTCTCAGTCATAGTTAGGTAAATACACTGACAAAGAGACAGGATAAATAAGGGCGAAATGGCTGAAATTTGGCAAAATGTGTCTTAATTTGAGCACTTTCTGACAAAAATAAAACAAGATTTGCCAATGAGAAAAACTTTCTTGTTTTAAAAAGATACAGAACTGTCTTCCTTGGAAAGGCAAGGCAAGGCAAGTTTATTTGTATAGCACAATTCATAAATTACACAAGGCAGCTCAAAGTGCTGAACAAAACAAGAAAGCATTAGGAAATCATAAATTATCACGCTCTCTCGAACATTAAAAAGCTCTCTCGCTGGTGTTTTGTCTCTCTCTCTTTGGGCTCTCTTTCTGGTATCTGCAGTAGTACTTCCCGCTCTCTCGCTGGTGCTTTGTCTCTCTCTCTTTGGGCTCTCTCTCTTTGGTATCTGCAGTATTGTACTTCCCGCTCTCTCGCTGGTGCTTTGTCTCTCTCTCTTTGGGCTCTCTCTCTGGTATCTGCAGTAGTACTTCCCGCTCTCTCGCTGGTGCTTTGTCTCTCTGTCTTTGGGCTCTCTCTCTGGTATCTGCAGTAGTACTTCCCGCTCTCTCGCCGGTGCTTTGTCTCTCTGTCTTTGGGCTCTCTCTCTGGTATCTGCAGTAGTACTTCCCGCTCTCTCGCTGGTGCTTTGTCTCTCTCTCTTTGGGCTCTCTCTCTTTGGTATCTGCAGTAGTACTTCCCGCTCTCTCGCTGGTGCTTTGTCTCTCTCTCTTTGGGCTCTCTCTCTGGTATCTGCAGTAGTACTTCCCGCTCTCTCGCTGGTGCTTTGTCTCTCTCTCTTTGGGCTCTCTCTCTGGTATCTGCAGTAGTACTTCCCGCTCTCTCGCTGGTGTTTTGTCTCTCTCTCTTTGGGCTCTCTTTCTGGTATCTGCAGTAGTACTTCCCGCTCTCTCGCTGGTGCTTTGTCTCTCTCTCTTTGGGCTCTCTCTCTTTGGTATCTGCAGTAGTACTTCCCGCTCTCTCGCTGGTGCTTTGTCTCTCTCTCTTTGGGCTCTCTCTCTGGTATCTGCAGTAGTACTTCCCGCTCTCTCGCTGGTGCTTTGTCTCTCTCTCTTTGGGCTCTCTCTCTGGTATCTGCAGTAGTACTTCCGCTCTCTCGCTGGTGCTTTGTCTCTCTGTCTTTGGGCTCTCTCTCTGGTATCTGCAGTAGTACTTCCCGCTCTCTCGCCGGTGCTTTGTCTCTCTGTCTTTGGGCTCTCTCTCTGGTATCTGCAGTAGTACTTCCCGCTCTCTCGCTGGTGCTTTGTCTCTCTCTCTTTTTGGGCTCTCTCTCTTTGTATCTCTCTCTGGTCTCTCTCTCTCTCAGGTGGGTTTGTCTCTCTCTCTCTTGCTCTCTCTGGTAGTACTTCCCGCTCTCTCTGTCTGGTGCTTTGTCTCTCTCTCTTTGGGCTCTCTCTCTGGTATCTGCAGTAGTACTTCCCGCTCTCTCGCTGGTGCTTTGTCTCTCTCTCTTTGGGCTCTCTCTCTCTGGTATCTTTGTCACTCGCAGTAGTACTTCTCTCTTGTCTCTCTCTTGGGCTCTCTCACTCTTGCTCTCGCTCTGGTGCTTTGTCTCTCTCTCTTTGGGCTCTCTCTCTGGTATCTCTCTCTTGTACTTGGGCTCTCTCTCTTGGTCTCTCTCTCTCTCTCTCTGGGTCTCTCTCTCTCTTGTCTCTCTCTCTCTCTGGTCTCTCTCTCTCTTTGTCTCTCTCTTGGTCTCTCTCTCTCTTGTCTCTCTCTCTCTCTCCTCTCTCTCTGTTCTCTCTCTCTCTCTTGGTCTCTCTCTCTCTCTCTCTCTTGTCTCTCTTCTCTTGTCTCTCTCTCTTGTCTCTCTCTCTTGTCTCTCTCTCTTGTCTCTCTCTCTGTCTCTCTCTCCTCTTGTCTCTCTCTCTCTTGTCTCTCTCTCTCTTGTCTCTTCTCTCTCTTGTCTCTCTCTCTCTCTGGTCTCTCTTGGTCTCTCTCTCTCTCTCTCTCTGTCTCTCTTCTTGTCTCTCTCTCTTGTCTCTCTCTCTTGTCTCTCTCTCGGTCTCTCTCTCTCTCTCTCTCTCTCTCTCTTGTCTCTCTCTCTCTCTGTCTCTCTCTCTACTTGTCTCTCTCTCTCTTGGCTCTCGCTCTTCTCTCGTGTCTCTCTTGTCTCTCTTGTCTCTCTCTCTCTCTCTCTCTCTCTCTCTGGTCTCTCTCTCTCTCTCTCTCTCTCTCTCTCTCTCTGGTCTCTCTCTCTCTCTCTCTCTGGTCTCTCTCTCTCTCTGGTCTCTCTCTCTCTCTCTGGTCTCTCTCTCTCTCTCTCTCTGGTCTCTCTCTCTCTCTGGTCTCTCTCTCTCTCTCTCTCTCTTTGGTCTCTCTCTCTCTGGTCTCTCTCTCTCTGGTCTCTCTCTCTCTGGTCTCTCTCTCTCTGTCTCTCTCTCTCTCTCTGGTCTCTCTCTCTCTGGTCTCTCTCTCTCTGGTCTCTCTCTCTGGTCTCTCTCTCTGGTCTCTCTCTCTCTCTCTCTCTCTGGTCTCTCTCTCTGGTCTCTCTCTGGTCTCTCTCTCTGGTCTCTCTCTGGTCTCTCTCTCTGGTCTCTCTCTCTGTCTCTCTCTCTGGTCTCTCTCTCTCTGGTCTCTCTCTGGTCTCTCTCTGGTCTCTCTCTGGTCTCACCTTGGCAGCTGCAGTACTGGTGGTCTTGCTGCAGGTGGCAGTAGTGATGCCGTGTCGTTGTAGGACCTGCTCAGCGTGTTTCAGAACCGCTTCATAACAGAACTTCAGGTGCAACTGGAAACACAGGACAGACACACTATAGATGTGTATCTGTTAAGACGCACACTGACACACACAGAGAGGGAGAGACACACACGCACACACACACAAGGACACACACATACACACAGACACAGACACAGACACACACACACCTTCTCCTGCAGCATGTTCTTCCTCTGTTGCCTCATCTTCTTCACCAGCTGCAGCAGGTCTGGGAGACCGTTCCCCGCCTCCAGCTCCTGCACCGCGGCGTAGAGGAGACAGAAGGCCCCAGTGCGACCCACACCCGAGCTACACACAGACACACACACAGACAGACAGACAGACACACAGACAGTTACACAACATTCAGTTCTATCTACACTGCTACACAGTCACTGATGACATAGTCACAGAGGCCTAGGCCCAGATCGCTTTGATCCAGGCTTTAGGGGCTGAGCGACCGCACCACCACAGGGTTGTGTGTCAGTTGTGCGTCTCACCTGCAGTGCACCACCACAGGGTTGTGTGTCAGTTGTGCGTCTCACCTGCAGTGCACCACCACAGGGTAGTGTGTCAGTTGTGCGTCTCACCTGCAGTGCACCACCACAGGGTTGTGTGTCAGTTGTGCGTCTCACCTGCAGTGCACCACCACAGGGTTGTGTGTCAGTTGTGCGTCTCACCTGCAGTGCACCACCACAGGGTTGTGTGTCAGTTGTGCGTCTCACCTGCAGTGCACCACCACAGGGTTGTGTAGCGGCCTCTGGTGCAGGTAGTGTCCGTGCACGTCCTGGATGAACCGTAGCAGGTGACTCTTGCTCTCAGGAAGTCCCCTACACCATCAAACACACACACCATCAGACACACACACCATCAGATACACACACCATCAGACACACACACCATCAAACACACACACCATCAAACACACACACCATCAGAAACACACACACCATCAGACACACACACACCATCAGACACACACACCATCAGACACACACACACCATCAGACACACACACACCATCAGACACACACACACCATCAGACACACACACCATCAGGCACACACACCATCAGGCACACACACCATCAGATACACACACCATCAGATACACACCATCAAACACCCACACCATCAAACACCCACACCATCAAACACCCTCACCATCAAACACCCTCACCATCAAACACCCTCACCATCAAACACCCACACCATCAAACACCCACACCATCAAACACACACCATCAGAGACACACCATCAGAGACACACCATCAGACACAAACCATCAGGAGTCAGACCATCAGACACACACCAGAGGGAGTCAGACCATCAGACACACACCAGAGGGAGTCAGACCATCAGACACACACCAGAGGTAGTCAGACCATCAGACATACACACCAGCAGGAGTCAGACCATCAGACACACACAAGAGGGAGTCAGACCATCAGACACACACACACCATCAGACACAAACCATCAGACACAAACCATCAAACACACACCATCAAACACACACCATCAGACACACGCACTATCAGACGCACACCATCAAACACACACACCATCAGACACACACCATCAAACGCACACCATCAAAGACACACACCATCCAACACACACACCATCAGACACACACCATCAAACACACACACCATCAGACACACACCATCAGACACACACCATCAGACACACACCATCAGACACACACCATCAGACACACACACCATCAAACACACACACCATCAGACACACACCATCAAACACACACACCATCAGACACACACACCATCAGACACACCATCAAACACACACACCATCAAACACACACAATCAAACACACAAACCATCAAACACACACCATCAAACACAACCCATCAGACACACACCATCAAACACACACACCATCAGACACACCATCAAACACACACACAATCAAACACACACACCATCAGACACACACCATCAAACACACACCATCAAACACACACCATCAAACACAACCCATCAGACACACACCATCAGACACACACCATCAGACACACACACCATCAAAAACACACACACACACACCATCAAACACACACCATCAAACACACACCATCAGACACAACCCATCAGACACACACGATCAGACACACACCATCAAACACACACACCATCAAACACACACACCATCAGACACACACCATCAAACACACACACCAGACACACACCATCAGACACTCACCATCAAACACACACACACCATCAAACACCCTCACCGTCAAACACAAACCATCAGGAGTCAGACCATCAGACACACACACCAGAGGGAGTCAGACCATCAGACATACACACCAGCAGAGTCAGACCATCAGACACACACCAGCAGGAGTCAGACCATCAGACACACACCAGAGGGAGTCAGACCATCAGACACACACCAGAGGGAGTCAGACCATCAGACACACACCAGAGGGAGTCAGACCATCAGACACACACACACCAGAGGGAGTCAGACCATCAGACACACACACACCAGAGGGAGTCAGACCATCAGACACACACACACCAGAGGGAGTCAGACCATCAGACACACACACACCAGAGGGAGTCAGACCATCAGACACACACACACCAGCAGGAGTCAGACCATCAGACACACACACACCAGCAGGAGTCAGACCATCAGACACACACACACCAGCAGGAGTCAGACCATCAGACACACACCAGCAGGAGTCAGACCATCAGACACACACCAGCAGGAGTCAGACAGAGGAGACGTACAGCTCTGGCCAGGAGGTGAACTGCAGGTGCACCACGGTCCTCTTCAGGCTCTGCTCTCGGTACTGCAGACTAACCATGCGCTCTGTGTGGGTGGGGCTGTTCTTCTGGGAGCTGAGGGTCAGAGTGATGGGCCCCTGAGACATCTGCTGCCCCCTGTCTGTGGGGAAGTACCTCAGCACCCTCCCCTGAGGACACAACACACACTGCCTCAGCATGTGTTACGATGCATCCTGATGATGTCAAACAATATTTCATCTATGACATGATTAGGAGAGTCTAATAAAGGCCGCTCAATCTTTGCTTTTGTTGCCTACTGTACTTTAACGTACCATGCTAGCTCGGTCTGCATAGAACCAGGACCAAGAGGGACTAAAGAAGGACCAAAGAAGGACCTGGTACTGGTTACACAGGGACAGTGGATCTGCAGTCTGTGGAAGTGGTACCTCTCTCAGTATGGGCCTCCCTGAGGTGTCTCACTTTTTTTCCCACTGGGTTCCCTCTGGTCCACCCTCTCTGGTCCACCCTCTCTGGTCCACCCTCTCTGGTCCACCCTCTCTGGTCCACCCTCTCTGGTCCACCCTCTCTGGTCCACCCTCTCTGGTCCACCCTCTCTGGTCCACCCTCTCTGGTCCACCCTCTCTGGTCCACCCTCTCTGGTCCACCCTCTCTGGTCCACCCTCTCTGGTCCACCCTCTCTGGTCCACCCTCTCTGGTCCACCCTCTCTGGTCCACCCTCTCTGGTCCACCCTCTCTGGTCCACCCTCTCTGGTCCACCCTCTCTGGTCCCCCTCTCTGGTCCACCCTCTCTGGTCCACCCTCTCTGGTCCACCCTCTCTGGTCCACCCTCTCTGGTCCACCCTCTCTGGTCCACCCTCTCTGGTCCACCCTCTCTGGTCCACCCTCTCTGGTCCCTATAGAACGAGGGTTACGTATGTAACCACGGTTCTATGAATCCCGGATGACCGCCAGAGGGCGGTGCATAGCACTGAATGTTCCCTTCGCGCATGCGCAGTTCGAGTAATAATACCAAATGAGTCACACCTGTGACCCCCTGGGTGACACACCGGAGGTAATAAAGTCCAGCGTCATCCAGCACTCTGTTCCTGCAGAATCTTCTCTCGCGGATGCAAGGACCCTGAGTGACAGAGCGCCTCTGGCGGTCATCCGGGATTCATAGAACCGTGGTTACATACGTAACCCTCGTTCTATTTCATCCCTTCAGACCGCCAGAGGGCGGTGCATAGCACTGAATGACCTTATACCAGCTATGTCACGAAGGAACTTGACCACACACCTCACGGAGGAGAGCCAGAGGATTCCTGAAGGACCACGCCAAGAGGAGCCGGAGTGGCCACATTGATGTTATAGAATCTGGTGAACGTGCTCGGTGTAGCCCAAGACGCAGCAGCACAAATAGTTCCCAACGGCACCCCGCGCATAGCGGCCCAGGAGGTAGAGACACCCCTGGTAGAATGGGCCCTCACCGTGGCTGGCGGGTCGCGGCCGGCCGAAATATACGCCTGACTGATAACGTCAACCACCCAGTGGGAAAGGCGTTGCTTCGAAAGCGGACTCCCCAGTCTAGCACCACCATAAGCAACAAAGAGCTGGTCTGAGCGCCTCACACCTGCCGTCGCAGCAACGTAGGCCTCCAATGCCCTCACAGGACACAGCAGGTGCAGTCTGTCCTCACCCCCATCCAGGGGGGACACAAACCGCGCCAACCTCAAAGGCCGGTTACAATAGTCACGGGAAAGCACCTTAGGGAGGAAAGTGGGATTAGGTCACAAGACCACGCCAGCCCTCTCAGGATCCCAGTGTAGGCATGAGGGACTGACAGAAAGTGCATGTAACTCACCGACCCTTTTTGCAGAGACCACAGCCAACAGGAAAGCAGTCTTATAGGAGAGCCACTTGAGGTCCGTTCGGGCCAATGGCTCATACGGAGGGCGGCAGAGAGACTCCAACACCAAGGCCAGGTCCCAAACCGGAGACCGCGCGGGCACGCGAGGTTGCAGCCTACGAGCTCCGCGTAAAAAGAGAGACACCAGGTTATGGCCCCCCACAGTACAGTTATCAACCAGGCCATGATAACATGAAATAGCAGCAACATATACCTTCAGAGTAGATGGGGCCCGACCTTCATCCAGGAGAGACTGAAGGAATTCCAGGACAACCGCCACCGGGCACGACACGGGATCCCGACCGCGGGAAGAACACCAGCGGGAGAACAACTTCCACCTGTTCTCATACAGCCGCCGAGTAGAGGCCGCCCTGGCATTCAGGAGTGTACGCCTGACAGGGCCAGTGACATCGAGTGCCCGCAGCTCGGGCCAGCCAACGGCCATACCCATAACTTGAGGCGGTGAGGACAGGGATGCCACACCTGACCGTCCAGCTGTGAGAGCAGATCCCGCCTGGGAGGGAGAGGCCAGGGGGGAGCCCAACAAAGTCTGAGTAGCAGTGGAAACCAGGGCCGTGCAGGCCAAAACGGAGCCACCAGTAATAAACTGTGCCCCGCCCGAAGGACCCTCTGGAGGGTTGGCCAGATCAGAGGAAAAGGGGGGAAGGCGTACAGGAGGGCCTGAGGCCAACTGTGCGCCAGGGCATCCTGGCCGAGAGAGCCCGGAACCCCGTCCAGGGAAAAAAACTGAGGGCAATGAGTGGAGGCCACCGAAGCGAACAGGTCCACCTGTGCCCGACCAAAGAGGCCCCACACCCTCTGGACCACACCGGGGTGGAGACACCATTCCCCCGGGGCAGGCCTCCCGCGAGACAGGGAGTCCGCCACGCGATTGCAGTCCCCTGGCAGATACGCTGCACGCAGTGTAGCCAGGCGAGGCGCAGCCCAAACCAGCAGAGCCTGAGACACCTCGAGGAGCCGAGCCGATCGGACACCCCCTTGATGGTTGATGCGATACACGACCGAGGTGTTGTCCAAACGAATGAGGACATGTTTCCCCAGCAGGTGAGGCAAAAACTCCTGGAGAGCAAGGTGGACGGCCCGAAGCTCCAGTACATTTATGTGGTCTGAGCGCTCCGCCCGAGACCAAACCCCTCGGGCCAACCTGCGCTGCCACACAGCACCCCATCCCGTACGGCTGGCGTCGGTGGTGACCACTTCCCTGCGGCACACTACCACCCCCAAGGGGACCCCACGTGACAGGAGACCGCGGTCCCTCCATGGAGCCAAAGCACGAAAACATGCCCACGTCACCTGTAACCGTCTGTGGCGGTGACGAACGGCATCCAAACGAAACCCGTTCAGCCACCTCTGCAACGGGCGAAGCGAAAGCAGCCCGAGTGGAACCACACGAGAGATCGAGGCCAGCTTCCCCACCAGCTGTAGAAAGCTGACGTAACTGTGCAGGGTGCCAAGACCGAAACGGGACACCACACCGTGGATGTCGACCAGGCGGCGCACCGACGGACGCGCCGTCATAGTCACCGTGTTCAGACTCAGGCCAAGAAAAACAGCGGCCTGCGAAGGTACCAGGCTGCTCTTTTCGAAATTGACCCTGAACCCCAAGCGGGCGACATGAGTCAGAAGGCGCTCCGTATCTTCCAAGGACCGTGCCCTGGACGGGGCGCAGATCAACCAATCGTCCAGATAAGGCAACACCTTCATGCCACTGGCCTGCAGCGGAGCAAGAGCCGCCTTCACGCATCGGGTGAAAACCCTCGGAGAGAGAGAGAGGCCAAAGGGAAGAACCCTGAACTGCCAGTGAACGCCCCGATAGGCGAACCGGAGGAACCGCCGGTGGGGCTGCGCAATGGGCACGTGAAAATACGCGCGTCCCTCAAATCTACGGACGTGAACCATTCCCCGGCCCCAACAGTCTGAAGGACTTCCGCAGTCGTCAGCATGCGAAATGGAATGACCTTCAGGAAATGATTCAAGCCCCTCAGATCCAGAATTGGTCGAAAACCCCCCGTCTTCTTGGGCACGAGAAAATAACGGGAGTAATAACCCCTGGGTTGCAGCAGCGGATCTACCGCCTCGATGGCACCCTTGGTCAGGAGGGCGGAGAGCTCCTGATCCAAGATAAAGGCTTTTGCCGGGTCCGAGAACAAAGTAACCTTGACCCGGCCCGACAAGTGCGGCCGGCGTCGGAATTGCAGACGGTATCCGTGGGTCAATGTGGCAACCACCCACGGATCCCGAGCTCGAGCAGCCCAACACTCGAGCTGCTGATGGGAAAAATGTCCGACGCTCGGCCCTGAGGCGTCAATTCCGTGCCCCCCGCCCCCTAGGGGCTCTGGGGGGACCCCGCCCAGGACCAGCCGCGGCGCCACTTGGCTGGCGGGTCGGGCGCCTATGTACGGGTGGGGCACGAAAATTCCCGGCAGGCCTGACCTGGGGAAAACGCTGAGCACCAGACCAATCCCGAGGAGGCTGCCGAACACCGGGGGCCACCATCGGGCGCAAAAACTGCCGGGGAGGGCGCACCACCCTGCTAAGGCTAGAAAGTTGCTGTCTAGTCTGACCAGCATGGACAGTCCGGTCCAATGCTTCCTGGGCCGCCGTCCCAAACATCTGACCCGGCTCGACAGGCACGTCACGGAGGGTCCTACGACAGGCCTCAGTCAGGGGAGACTGAGCCAGCCATACCTGCCGACGAGCCTGTACAAGGACCGACATGACCCGTCCGAGTTCCCTGGTCATCAAGGCAAAAGCATGCAGAGCTGCGTCGCTAAACGCAGTAACATCAGTGCCCACAGCACTACCCTCTTGGAGGGAGGCAGACAGGGCAAGCAGCAGATGCGCTAAGGAGTTACCAATACGGCCAGCTCGAGCACCAGAATTGTAGGCCTTTGTTAGCAAGTGATCCGTCGCACGACACTGGCTCCGAGGGCACCTCACATTCTCCCGCAAGGACTCCTCTGGAGAAACAATGAGGGAGGCAACCGCCGGCTCCACAGCCGGCATGCAATCCAGACCAGCCGAAGAGGCATCGTGCATCGCGGCCAAAGCCCGACCCTCAGCCGACAGCTTAGAGAGACGGTCCCTCCAGCACGCGTGTAGCTCCTTCAGATACTCCGCGGACGGGGGCACAACAAAAGCAGGAGACGAACCACAACGCCTGAAAAAAACACTGCCAGGGTCAGCCTGTCCCGACTGGGGAAGTTCCACCTGCAGACGGGATAAGGCCCTGCGAAGAACCTCCTGCATTGAGCCGTCACCAGACCGGCTGGACACACTATGTGCGGAAGAATAAGCATCGTCCCCCGAAAGGGACCGCGCGTCATCCTCGTCCCGGAAGCACGAAGCAGATGCCGCCAGAGAAAGCACATCCTCTTCCGGATGGAGGGATGGCATGGAGCAAGAACCAGCCCCAGAGACGGCATCAGCAGCACAACGTGCCTGGAATGCAGATTTCATCGCCTCCAACTCTGCAGATAACTGCTCCACCCTCGACACCAGGACAGCATCCGGCTTGGCCTGCTTGGAAGGACCATGGCCATCAGACCGCTCCCCCGAAGCACAGGCCTCAGCACGGCGCTTAGAACGCCGAGGGGGCGGAGCCACAGCAGGTCCCACTGGCAAACTACCACCGTCGCCAGACGAAGGCAGCTGAACCAGCCTCGCCACCCTAACAGCCCAGGGCAAGCAGCTGCAGTTCATGCACGGGTTATCGGACACTGCCTCCCTCAAGTGAGTGGGGCCGAGGCACGCCGGACACAGGTCATGGCCGTCATCAACATCGAGTGCTGACCCGCAGCCCACACACGCATGTGACCCGTCCATAACAAGGCTGTTTTTTTTTTTTTTTTTTTTTTTTAAATTAAATTATTATTCTTGTTTCGTCTGTCTGTGTCGTTAATTCAATATGGAATTAATCCCAAACGGTATACAAACTGCAGAACTGAATCAGCGTACTGCAGTTTCACAACAGAAAAGCCAAATATAGCACGGTGGAGGAGCGGACGCGCGAACAGCAGCCTTCACACCACACAATGCACCCGCAGCAAAATGCCACTCGAATAAAGTAGTGATGGAGGAGAGGGCGCGCGAACAGCAGCCGTCACACCACACAATACACCGGCCACAGAATAAACACAGGCAGCAAATGCTAACCCAAACAAGAACTGATGGAGGAGCGGGACAACGAACCGCAGCCTTCACACCACAGAGGACACCGGTAACAAAAACTAACCCAAAGAAGAACTGATGGAGGAGCGGGCGCGCGAACAGCAGCCTTCACACCACACAATACACCGGCAGTAAAACGCCAACTCAAAAATAAAGTAGTGATGGAGGAGAGGGCGCGCTAACAGCAGCCTTCACACCACACAATACACCGGCCACAGACTAAAACACAGGCAGCAAATGCTAACCCAAACAAGAACTGATGGAGGAGCGGGACAACGAACCGCAGCCTTCACACCACAGAGGACACCGGTAACAAAAACTAACCCAAAGAAGAACTGATGGAGGAGCGGGCGCGCGAACAGCAGCCTTCACACCACAGAGGACACGGGTAGCAAAAACTAACCCAACTAAGAACTGATGGAGGAGCGGAACCGCAGCCTCACACCACACAATACACAGGTAGCAAAATGCTAACCCAAATAAGAACCGATGGAGGAGCGGGCTAACGAACCGCAGCCTCACACCACTCAATACACAGTTAGCTAAGCTAACTCAAACATGCACAGGCGGAGGAGCAGGCCAACGAACCGCAGCCTTCACACCACGAAATGCATGTACCAAAAGAAAGTACTGACGGAGGAGCGGGCGCCACAGCAGCCTTCACACCAACCAATACACACGTATAAGACAGAAAACACCAATAAATACCCGAAGGACAACGTCACCGTCGCGCCCCACGGAGGGCGAACCGCAGCTCCGATGAAGAGGGCTTTCAGCGACAGACGTTGACGAAGTTCAAGCAACAACGATTCGAACCGCACGCGAGAAGAAAAAAGGAACAGAGTGCTGGATGACGCTGGACTTTATTACCTCCGGTGTGTCACCCAGGGGGTCACAGGTGTGACTCATTTGGTATTATTACTCGAACTGCGCATGCGCGAAGGGAACATTCAGTGCTATGCACCGCCCTCTGGCGGTCTGAAGGGATGAAATAGAACTATCCTGGTGTGTGCAGAGAGCTCACCTTGTCCAGCTCCTGCTCCGACACCAGCATGACAATGAGAGAGACCTTCTGCTCATACACCATGAGCCAGAAGTCTGCGGCGGTACCAGAAAGCGGGGCCTGTGTGGCGATGAGGCGGGGGCAGTAAGAGGACAGCTGGTCCACGAAGCTGGCGTTGATGTAGTCGTCTTTCCCAGAATGCAACAGCACACGGTTCATGTCGTACGGCATCACGTCCTGGTGCCGGTTCTTCATGGTGTAGCAGCGCGCGATGGCGATTGACAAGAGCCGCGCATCCTTCTCCTGCTGCTCCTGCACATGGTACAGAGGAGTGCACATGGTACAGAAGAGCTCACATGGTCCAGAAGAGCTCACGTGGTCCAGAAGAGCTCACGTGGTACAGAGGAGCTCACGTGGTACAGAGGAGCTCCCGTGGTACAGAGGAGCTCCCGTGGTACAGAGGAGCTCCCGTGGTACAGAGGAGCTCCCGTGGTACAGAGGAGCTCCCGTGGTACAGAGGAGCTCACATGGTAGTGGGAGAGGAGCTACCAACGTAGGCTGGTAACATATAAGGAGACAAGGGATATAAGATATACCAGGGAGAGAGAGACCAGAGACAGACCAGAAAGAGACCTGAGAGAGTCCAGACAGAGACCAAAGAGACGAGAGAGAAAGACCAGAGAAAACAACAAGTCACAACAAGGAAGTCAAATTTTAAAACTTAAAAAAGGGTCAGACTGGGATGAAATATGGAATCTCAAATGTGATTATGTCCAACCTGTGATATGTACTTCGACATAATAATAATAATAATAATAATAATAATAATAACCCGAGTGCCCAGTAAAGTGTCCAGTGGATCCTGTACCTGCAGATCCTTCCACTGTGCGTCCAACAGAGAGGATCCTCCTTCAGCGTCTAAGGGCAGCTCCAGAGACTCCACATGGTTCCTGAAGCACTCCAGCTCCTGGTGCAGCCGGGTCACTCTCTCCGGAGCCTGGTACGGGTCTCCCTGGACCACAAGAACCCCCTGGGAACTCCTCCTGCGCCGCTCCCCATCCTGAGGGAAACAATGTGTGTGTGAGATAACAGGGCACTAGCACAACAGTAATCTCCATTCATATTCAGGAGCAGCCGTCTGAGCAGAGACACACCTCCTCCAGCCCATCTGGGGGAATCCTGAGGCATTCCCAGAGACACAGTCCTGTGTCCTCTTCTCCTGGTCTCCTCCCGGTGGGACATGTCCAAAACACCTCCTCAGGGAGGAGACCAGGAGGCATCCCAAACAGATGAGCCCCCTCCACTGGCTCCTTTTTTAAGTTATATTCACCAGTTTTAGTATAGTATAGTAAACCCTGAATAAAACTGAAAACTTTTTGGGGTTTTGAATAGATTTGACTAAGAGCAGTCGTCTGGGAGGGTTAGTAGTGTACAGATGAGAACAACATTCCCTAGATCCTCACCTGAGGGTCTGCTTTGGTCGGCTGCAGGACGTTGACAGTGGGTTTCGCTCCGTGCTGACTCTCCGGACTGCAGGAGAGGAGGTCGTCGGTGCTGGAGTTCTGCCGTTGGAAGAGCGAGGTGGCGGGGTGGACTGTGGAGGGGGAGGGCATGGAGGGGGAGGGGAGAGCGGGCGAGGGAAGGGCAGGGTTGGCAGGAGTAGTGGGTGGCATCTGCTGCGGCGTGAGCATAGGGGGAGGAGCTGGAGACACCAACGGTGGGTTAGCGGGCTGCACTGCCAGAACATGGGGCGGGAGCAGGACAGCAGAGACCGCGCCTGAGCCCGGCGCCTGAGGGAACACCACCTGTGCAGGTGGGAGCCCCAAGGGAAGAGCTGACGGCGGTTGCGAAGTGGCAGGCTGAGGCGCGAGTGTCGGTTGGGGAAGGATCGGTGGTTGCGGGCCGGGATAGCCCACTGCGCCCCCTGGTGGATCCTGGTGCGATGGAGGAGGTGGTCCCCTGGGTATCGCCGCGAGCTGAGGCCGTAGCGCAGGCATATAGTTCTGTGGCATCACCTGGCCAGCTGGGGGAACGCCCTGGATCTGTGGGTGACTTTGGTGCATGTAGTGTTGCGATGTTGCCGGTGCTACTTGAGGAACCGGAGCCTGAGGGGGCATTGGTGCGTATGCTTGCGGAGCTGCGTATCCATTCTGCTGCCGTGTAAAAGTCTGCTGATAGTGCGGCGGCAGGCGTGGCTGTGGTGGCATGTACGGGTAAGAGTGTGTGGGCTGTGCAGGATAGGTTTGCGGCTGGGGGAACTGTTGTGGCTTCTGTGGCTGCGGCTGAGCGTGTGGTTGTGCTCCTGGTGGTGGTATGTAATGTGGGTACATGTGAGGGGGGAGTGTGTAGCCCGAAGGAACGGGAGGTGGCACAGCGGGCGCAGGCGGGCGATGAGGAGGCGCGTAACTTGGAATGGGAGCATGGATGGTGTTCACTGTGGTGGTGGAGGGACGCACTGGTACAGAGGGCGGGCCTGGGTATCTGGGACCAGCGGCTTGTGGGTGCATCTGCGCATTGGGTTGGTGTGTCTGCGGCATCTGCGCAGGAGGAATGTGTGGATTTGCCATCTGCATTTGTGAGGTGGGAATATGCGCGTGTGGCATCTGCGACGTGGGGATATGTTGAGCTGGGATCTGCATCTGCGATGGCGGCATTTGCAAACCGGGAATCTGTGCAGGAGGAATTTGTGGTTGCGGTAAATTCTGAGCCATATGCTGCGGCATCTGCTGTGGCATCTGCTGCGGCATCTGCTGCGGCATCTGCTGCGGCATCTGCTGCGGCATCTCTAGCGGCATCTGCCGCGGCATCTCTAGCGGCATCTGCCGCGGCATCTGCCGCGGCATCTGCTGCGGCATCTGCTGCGGCATCTGCTGCGGCATCTCTAGCGGCATCTGCTGCGGCATCTGCCGTGGCATCTGCCGTGGCATCTGCTGTGGCATCTGCTGTGGCACCTGGGGGTGCATGTGTGGAGCCATCTGAGGCCCAGGTCGGAGCACGCCCTGCGGTGTGAACTGTGCGAGGCGGGCGAGCACCTCAGGAGGGGGCAGGTTGGGGGGGAAGCGTGGCATGGCAGCAGGGGGTGCTCCCGACCAGGGCATAGACATGCCGGGGCCAGAAGGCAGACGCGGCACACCAGGGGGAGTGGCCATGTTGGGTGGGAGACTGCGCAGCTCCTCAGGGAGGTCGCCCTCTAGAGCCAAAATGGCAGCGCTCAGCTGAGCCAGTTCTGCGTCCTCCAGACTGGAGCAGGCAGAGTCCGAGTCTGTGGCTTTAGGTGGCAGCGAGGGTTTGGCGGCGGTGGGTCGAGCGGGCGGCTTCTTCACATCTCTGACAAAGACAAGAACTGTAAGATTTGGGGATCTGACAAGGGCCACAAAAAACCTTTGCTGCAGATAGACCGTTGTCTTTGTTTTACTGGTCACAACATGATGTTCTAAAGCAGAACCTTCAGCTTCCATTACTCATTGGACTCATTGATTTAGGAATATAGAAAAATGAATTTAATTGAATAATTTACTAGTCTGTTTTGAGAATAAACCAGTGTCCTATTACTACTAAAACATGATTGAGTCATAATAAGAAGTCCATAAATTCTGCTTTGACAACAGCCAGACTGTACCACAATAAAAATACACATATTAAGCATGTTAATACACACTATAGAGGCCCAAGGAATCAAAGTAGTATAAAAAGTAGAAGCTTTCAGTCCAAAAATTACAGTACTTTAAATTGATAACTAATCTCTACATCTGGGGCGACAGTAGCTCAGTTGGTATATCTGGCCAGTTGGCCTGGAGGTCGTGGGTTCGAGCCCACCATGGTACCTACTCCAATTGCTCCCGCAAATGTCTACTGTCGTTGTGTCCTTGGGCAAGACACTTAACCCCATGTTGCCTGAAGCCCCCACTGAAAGGCTTTTTCACCGCTAACGGAGCAGCCATCTTCTTGTTGACCCACCACCTGCAGAGGATCAGAGGGACTGATGCTATGAGCATTGGGAGGCAGACCCATAAATGGACTAATAAAGGGGTTGAAAATGAATGAATTAATCTCTACCTCTTGAGAAATCTAGTTCTCGGACACATACAATGCAGATAGAAAGAGAAGAGGAGAAACAGAGAGAGAGAGAGAGAGAGAGAGAGACACAACCCTGGTACAGTAGATAGAGACACTGGAGCTATACTTCCTGCAGTACACACACCTGTAGAGTAGGGGCCTCCTCTCGTCCGCTCTGCTCTGGCACAGCAGCTTGGCCTTCTCCAGCAGACGAGAAGCTTTGGTCTCCAGGTCGTCGTAGAAGTCCTTCCCCTCCTGGGACTTCTTCATGAGGTCTTCGTAGGCCTCATAGGAGCCCACCAGGCCCTGCACCGTGGCGGTCCACTGCGCCTCCACCTGCCCCAAGCCTTTGCGCACAGACGCGTACTGGACGTTAGCTTCGGTCAGAGCCTTCAGGATGTTCTCCTGAGCAGACAGGTTCTGGTCGATGTAGACTTTCAGCTGCTCGTACTTCTTCAGCTGCTCCTCAAACACTCGCTGTGGACACAAGGAGCAGTATAAATCATATTTATCTATATAGCATCTTTCACAGAGTCACAGCGCTCTTCACAGCTGTTGTGGACATTTGTCTCTCACTCCACGCAATGATGAAGTGATGAAACCCTCTTCATGACACTATGGCCGCTCAGAGGAGTAATTGTAGCAACAGGCGATCAAGAGATCCTTTGTTCCTTCAGCTGTCAGACTGTACAACAAACCAGGGTGAGTTCTGCAGCTGGACACCCGAATTTCTCCTATGGATATCAATAAAGTATCTATCTAACTATCGGTGGTCACTAAGGTGGTACCTTTATATCTGCTCTCTCTGTGGTACCTTTATGTCTGCTCTCTCTGTGGTACCTTTATGTCTGCTCTCTCTGTGGTACCTTTATGTCTGCTCTCTCTGTGGTACCTTTATGTCTGCTCTCTCTGTGGTACCTTTATGTCTGCTCTCTATGTGGTACCTTTATGTCTGCTCTCTCTGTGGTACCTTTATGTCTGCTCTCTCTGTGGTACCTTTATGTCTGCTCTCTCTGTGGTACCTTTATGTCTGCTCTCTCTGTGGTACCTTTATGTCTGCTCTCTATGTGGTACCTTTATGTCTGCTCTCTGTGTGGTACCTTTATGTCTGATCTCTCGGTGGTCACTAAGGTGGTACCTTTATGTCTGCTCTCTCGGTGGTCACTAAGGTGGTACCTTTGTCTGCTCTCTTGGTGGTCACTAAGGTGGTACCTTTATGTCTGCTCTCTCGGTGGTCACTAAGATGGTACCTTTATGTCTGCTCTCTCAGTGGTCACTAAGTAATAGTAGTAGTAATCTTTATTTATATACCGCCTTTTCACTGCAGATCTGAGTCTCAAAGCGGTTTACAATTGTTAATTATGGGCATTTATCTCTCACTCCACACAGAGATGGGAGCGGGGGTCGCCAGTACAGGAGGCGCATGCCAGACATGCCTATTGGACATATTTTTAGTGGTAGGGGAAACCGGAGTACCCGGAGGAAACCTACGCAGACACGGGGAGAACATGCAAACTCCACTCAGAAAGGCCCTGGTCCGACCGGGATTCGAACCCAGGACCTTCTTGCTGAGAGGCGAGAGTGCTATCCACTCAGCCACCGTGCCGCCCACGGTGGCTGAGTGGTCACTATCACTAAGGTGATACCTTTATGTCTGCTCTCTCGGTGGTACCTTTGTCTGCTCTCTCGGTGGTCATTAAGGTGATACCTTTATGTCTGCTCTCTCGGTGGTCACTAAGGTGGAGGTGATGTCGTCTTGCTGGATCATGTCTCTCAGCTGTTTCTCGAAGGAGCTCCTCTGGTCCCTCATCTCCTGCACTTTCCCGAGGATCCGCTTCATGGTCTGCAGTCCGCCCACCTCCTCTGAACAACACAAACAATAGCATTAGCCGCTAACCCCATGTTTTAGACCAAAAGTCGTTTGATTTTTGCACTTTGGTGAGCCTAGGCAGTTCTATTTCATCCCTTCTGACCGCCAGAGGGCGGTGCATAGCACTGAATGAATGTTCCCTTGGCGCATGCGCAGGGAATATTCATTCAGTGCTATGCACCGCCCTCTGGCGGTCAGAAGGGATTCATAGAACCGTGGTTACATACGTAACTCTCGTTTTAAATGTGCTCTACAAATAAAGATTGTGTTTTATACAGGGGCGCGGACCTTCTGAGAGCTGGGGGCTGGGCAGGGCGTCCCTCAGGGCCTCCAGGGGCCCCCCCAGCAGCCGCAGGTTGTTGATGTGTAGGTTCATGGCTCGGTGTAGCTCGGTGTTGGTGAAGCTGGCCTTGTCATGGGCCTCCATGTACTTCTCCAGGTCTCTGCGGACGTCGGCCAGAGCCTGAGCCTGAGCTGGGGGGTGCAGGTCTGAGGCCACACCTGCCCCAACCGTCTCTAGCAGCGACCGCTCCCCTGCCTCGTCTGCCTCCAGGACGTCCCTGATCTCCTTCAGCGAAGACTCGACGTCCGTGAAGACACCAGAGAGCACTGAGGGGAAGAGGATATCAGAGATACATGTCGACGTTTGGTCTAATAAAACATGTGAGCATTCGTTACAGGTTATACAATTGTCAGTGACTTTGCATATGGAGACCCCTGCTGGAGAAATATGGCAACAGCACAATCCTTTCCTCCTCTACATCTGTCGTTATCTGCTTGGGAGCCTCCTCAGTTCTACAGCCTCAGTCCTGGGTCTACAGCCTCAGTCCTGGGTCTACAGCCTCAGTCCTGCCCTGGGTCTACAGCCTCAGTCCTGGGTCTACAGCCTCAGTCCTGGGTCTACAGCCTCAGTCCTGGGTCTACAGCCTCTCTCAATAATACAGTGTCTGTGTATACTGGTGTGTGTATGTCTGAGTGTGCGAGTGGTTCCTTGATGTTCACACCTCTTGAGAAGGTGCAAAGCTCTACATAAACGTGACCTTTTACCATTTAATACTGTGGGGAAAGTATGCACAGATGTCTTGGGGCTGAACACCAGAGTAGTGCATGTCTGAGATGTTTACCCTGCATGGACTGGACCAGGCTCTTCACGGTGTCGGGCCTGACGCTCAGAGCAGCACACTTCTCCATCAGGACCGGGGGGATGTGGCTGTACATGTCCAGGTTGTCCACAGAGTCCGGTTCCAGGCCCAGAGAGTCCATGAACTGTCTGAGAGAGAGGCAGAGACAAACATGTATCTGACACACAGCATCTCTCTGCTCCGTGTGGAAAAAGAGTTATGTAAACACCAGTACTCACTCCAGAGTTTCATTCTTGCTGTCGACTTTGTCCATCACGTCTCTCAGCAGCTTGGCCTTCTCCTCACTACCATAAAAACACATTACGTCATGTGTCAGGAGTGGACAGAGTGTGACATCACCCCAGTGTTAGCCTTAATGTGGAAGAGGGTGATCTGAACACAAGTTGGAGCCAGTTTCCTTATATGGACATTTGTTCTGACGGTGTTAGCTTTCTAAGTCTGTGATATGTGTGAGTTTCTGTAGAGACCTGTAGAGCGACGAGGCCTCGTGCGCAGCCATAGGCACCAGTTTGGAGAACAGGTCTGGTCCCGTGACACTGGGGTCTGTGGGGTTCACTGGGAGGGCCTTCACCAGCGGAGCACCTGGACACAGCAACACGACGTCTACAACTGCCTCACGCCTCAAAACACACAACAGGAGGATTCTACTCTGAGCAGCAGTTCTCATAGTACAGTCTGACAGCAGCAGGAAGGAAAGACCTGCAGAACATCTCCTCCACACAGAAAGGGTGGACCGGTCTGTGACTGAAACTGCTCTCCAGACCAGAGTGTCCTGCAGGGGGCGACAGTCATGGTCCAGCATAGTTTGTCCAGGGAACAGTCCAGGACTGAGCTGGTCTTCCTGATGTTCCAGCTTCCCTCTCTGTGATGCTGCTGCAGACTACACCGTACAAGATGATCCACCACAGAGTCATAGCAGGTCTTCAGGTTCAGGTTGGAATAAAAACCTGCAGCCTCACAGCCTTTGAGGACTGAGTTGAAAACCTCTGAACTCTGGTAAAAAGGTGTGAAATGTTTTACCTTTGACAGAAGCCAGAGTTTCTAAAGCCGGGACCGCCTCGTGATAGATGAAGTCGTTGTCCTTCTTTGCAGAGTTGTACCTGTGACAGAAACGTAGTAAACATCTTTGAACATTAAGAACCAGAGCAGACACTGAACTCTTACTTTCCACCAATGATGTCCATCGTGAACCTGAGGGCCTCCTGGACACTGTCAGGCTGGCCCTGCACAAAGCAACACAGGAATTTACTCACTCACAATGACACTTGTTAGACAGGAAATCGAGAGACCGAGAACGAGAGACCAGAGAGAGAGAGACCAGAGAGAGAGACCAGAGAGAGAGAGAGAGAGAGAGAGAGACCAGAGAGAGAGAGAGAGAGAGAGAGACCAGAGAGAGCGAGAGACCAGAGACCAGAGAGAGAGAGACCAGAGTGAGAGAGAGACCAGAGAGAGAGAGAGAGAGAGAGAGAGACCAGAGAGAGCGAGACCAGAGAGAGACCACAGAAAGCAAGACCAGAGAGCGATAAACCATAGAAACCACAGAGAGACCCAGAGAGAGACTAAAGTGAGAGACTAAAGTGAGAGACTAAAGTGAGAGACTAAAGTGAGAGACTCTGAACAAAATTCAATGTTTTAAACATACAAATAGAAAATCAGAATTAGCAGTCTGAAGAATGTGGTGCATTCTGACCTTGGCGAGTTTGATGGCTTCATTGAGTTTGTCCAGCGAGCTCTGCAGATAGGCCAGCTGCAAAACACACTCATGGTAAAACTTCAGGAACTTAGGCTGAGTTTACACGGAGACAATGTGGCAGTAAAACGGTATAGTTGGATGTCGGTTGCTACCAACCGTTTATACGAAGACTGTGTTCCAGGAGTTTTTGCCTCACCAGCTGGGGAAACATGTCCTCATTCGTTCGGACAACACCTCGGTCGTGTATCACATCAACCATCAAGGGAATGTCCGATCGGCTCGGCTCCTCGAGGTGTCTCAGGCGCTGTTGGTTTGGGCTGCGCCTCGCCTGTCTACACTGCGTGCAGCGTATCTGCCGGGGGACTGCAATCGCGTGGCGGACTGGTGTCTCCATCCCAGTGTGGTCCAGAGGATATGGGGCCTTTTTGGTCAGGCACAGGTGGACCTATTCGCTTCGGTGGCCTCCACTCATTGCCCTCAGTTTTTTTCCCTGGACGGGGCTCCGGGCTCTCTCGGCCAGGATGCCCTGGCGCACAGTTGGCCTCAGGTCCTCCTGTACGCCTTCTCCCCTTTTCCTCTGATCTGGCCCACCCTCCAGAGAGTCCTTCGGGCAGGGCACAGGTTGTTGCTGGTGGCTCCGTTTTGGCCTGCACGGCCCTGGTTTCCACTGCTACTCAGACTTTGTTGGGCTCCCCCCTGGCCTCTCCCTCCCAGGCGGGATCTGCTCTCACAGCTGGACGGTCAGGTGTGGCATCCCTGTCCTCACCGCCTCAAGTTATGGGTGTGGCCGTTGGCTGGCCCGAGTTGCGGGCGCTCGATGTCACTGGCCCTGTCAGGCGTACACTCCTGAATGCCAGGGCGGCCTCTACTCGGCGGCTGTATGAGAATAGGTGGAAGTTGTTCTCCCGCTGGTGTTCTCCCTGCGGTCGGGATCCCGTGTCGTGCCCGGTGGCGGTTGTCCTGGAGTTCCTTCAGTCTCTCCTGGATGAAGGTCGTGCCCCATCTATTCTGAAGGTATATGTTGCTGCTATTTCATGTTATCATGGCCAGGTTGATAACTGTACTGTGGGGGGCCATAACCTGGTGTCCCTCTTTTTACGCGGAGCTCGTAGTCTGCACCCTCGCGGTCTCCGGTTTGGGACCTGGCCTTGGTGTTGGAGTCTCTCTGCCGCCCTCCGTATGAGCCATTGGCCCGAACGGACCTCAAGTGGCTCTCCTATAAAACTGCTTTCCTGTTGGCTGTGGTCTCTGCAAAAAGGGTCGGTGAGTTGCATGCACTTTCTGTCAGTCCCTCATGCCTACGCTGGGATCCCGAGAAGGCTGGCGTGGTCTTGTGGCCTAATGCCACTTTCTTCCCTAAGGTGCTTTCCCGTGACTATCGTAACCGGCCTTTGAGGTTGGCGCGGTTTGTGTCTCCCCTGGATGGGGGTGGGGACAGACTGCACCTGCTGTGTCCTGTGAGGGCATTGGAGGCCTACGTTGCTGCGACGGCGGGTGTGAGGCGCTCAGACCAGCTCTTTGTTGCTTATGGTGGTGCTAGACTGGGAAGTCCACTTTCGAAGCAACGCCTTTCCCACTGGGTGGTTGACGTTATCAGTCAGGCGTACGTTTCGGCCGGCCGTGACCCGCCAGCCGAGGTGAGGGCCCATTCTACCAGGGGTGTCTCTACCTACTGGGCCCCTATGCGCGGGGTGCCGTTGGGGACTATTTGTGCTGCTGCGTCTTGGGCTACACCAAGCACGTTCACCAGATTCTACAACATCAATGTGGCCACTCCGGCTCCTCTTGGCGTGGTCCTTCAGGAATCCTCTGGCTCTCCTCCGTGAGGTGTGTGGTCAAGATCCTTCGTTACATAGCTGGTATAAGGTCATTCAGTGCTATGCACCGCCCTCTGGCGGTCAGAAGGGATGAAATAGAACGAGGGTTACGTATGTAACCACGGTTCTATGAATCCCGGATGGCCGCCAGAGACGCTCTGTCACTCGGTCCTTGCGTCCGCGAGAAGATTCTGCAGGAACAGAGTGCTGGATGACGCTGGACTTTATTACCTCCGGTGTGTCATCCAAGGGGTCACAGGTGTGACTCATTTGGTATTATTACTCGAACTGCGCATGCGCGAAGGGAACATTCAGTGCTATGCACCGCCCTCTGGCGGTCATCCGGGATTCATAGAACCGTGGTTACATACGTAACCCTCATTCACAGCTGTTGTTAAAATGCAGAATTATGTTGGTACTTTCTGAGGGTCTGGCACAGGAAGTGAATATACTGCCGGGAGGTGGGCTGGGGGTCGTGTCGTGTTGTAAAGTTTCTCTGCCCACTACTGGCCGGGCGCTAGAACTACATCGTTTTTCAACCTCATGTGAACGCTGAGAAATTTGCATTAGGAGCCAGGTCGTTTCTGTTAATAGCCTGGAAACGTCTGCGCAGCGTCTCAGTATAAACAGGGCCTTAGAGCCACAGGAGAAAGAGAAAAAGACTCACCCTCTCACCAAACTTCTGCTGCTCCTCGGCCTGTTTCCCCATGTGCAGCTGCAGACACAGAGAGATCTGAGAGAGACACCAGAGAGATACCAGAGATAGACCAGAGAGAGACCAGAGAGGGACCAGAGAGAGACTAGAGAGAGAGATCTGAGAGAGAGACCAGAGAGAGAGATCTGAGAGAGAGACCAGAGAGAGACCAGAGAGAGAGATCTGAGAGACACCAGAGAGAGACCAGAGAGAGACCAGAGAGAGACCAGAGAGAGACCAGAGAGAGACTAGAGAGACCAGAGAGAGACCAGAGAGAAAGACCAGAGAGAAAGACCAGAGAGAAAGACCAGAGAGAAAGACCAGAGAGAGAGAGATCTGAGAGAGAGACCAGAGAGAGACCAGAGAGAGAGACTAAAGAGAGGGACTAGAGAGAGAGATCTGAGAGAGACCAGAGAGAGACCAGAGGGAGAGATCTGAGAGAGAGACCAGAGAGAGAGACCAGAGAGAGAGACCAGAGAGAGAGACCAGAGAGAGAGACCAGAGAGAGAGACCAGAGAGAGAGACCAGAGAGAGACCAGAGAGACAGACGAGAGAGAGAGACCAGAGAGAGACCAGAGAGAGACCAGAGAGAGACCAGAGAGAGACCAGAGAGAAAGACCAGAGAGAAAGACCAGAGAGAGAGATCTGAGAGAGAGACCAGAGAGAGACTAGAGAGAGAGATCTGAGAGAAAGACCAGAGAGAAAGACCAGAGAGAGAGACTAGAGAGAGAGACCAGAGAGAGAGACTAGAGAGAGAGACCAGAGAGAGATCTGAGAGAGAGACCAGACCAGAGAGAGAGACTAGAGAGAGAGACCAGAGAGAGAGACTAGAGAGAGAGACCAGAGAGAGATCTGAGAGAGAGACCAGAGAGAGAGATCTGAGAGAGAGACCAGAGAGAGATCTGAGAGAGAGACCAGAGAGAGACTAGAGAGAGAGACCAGAGAGGGACCAAAGAGAGACCAGAGAGAGACCAGAGAGAGATCTGAGAGAGAGACCAGAGAGAGACTAGAGAGAGATCTGAGAGAAAGACCAGAGAGAGAGACTAGAGAGAAATCTGAGAGACACCAGAGAGAGACCAGAGAGAGACCAGAAAGAGACTAGAGAGAGACTAGAAAGAGAGACGAGAGAGAGACCGGAGAGAGACCAGAAAGAGACTAGAGAGAGAGAGATCTGAGAGACACCAGAGAGAGACCAGAGAGAGACCAGAGAGAGACCAGAAAGAGACTAGAGAGAGAGACCAGAGAGAGACCAGAGAGAAAGACCAGAGAGAAAGACCAGAGAGAGACCAGAGAGAGAGAGATCTGAGAGAGAGACCAGAGAGAGACCAGAGAGAGAGACTAAAGAGAGGGACTAGAGAGAGAGATCGGAGAGAGAAACCAGAGAGAGACCAGAGAGAGACCAGAGGGAGAGATCTGAGAGAGAGACCAGAGAGAGAGACCAGAGAGAGAGACCAGAGAGAGAGACCAGAGAGAGACCAGAGAGAGAGAGATCTGCGAGACCAGAGAGAGACCAGAGAGAGACTAGAGAGAGAGACTAGAGAGAGAGATCTGAGAGAGAGACCAGAGAGACCAGAGAGAGACCAGAGAGAGACCAGAGAGAGACCAGAGAGAGAGACCAGAGAGAGACCAGAGAGAGAGAGATCTGAGAGAGAGACCAGAGAGAGATCTGAGAGAAAGACCAGAGAGAGATACTAGAGAGAGAGACCAGAGAGGGACCAGAGAGAGACCAGAGAGAAAGACCAGAGAGAGACCAGAGAGAGACCAGAGAGAGAGACCAGAGAGAGACTAGAGAGAGAGATCTGAGAGAAAGACCAGAGAGAAAGACCAGAGAGAGAGACCAGAGAGAGAGACCAGAGAGAGAGACTAGAGAGAGAGACCAGAGAGAGAGACTAGAGAGAGACCAGAGAGAGATCTGAGAGAGAGACCAGACCAGAGAGAGAGACTAGTGTGGTGACAGTTTTTGGAGTAATTACATAAAACCAGCCGCAGCAAATACACGGACGTCAAAGGCCTTTTATCAATGCAGACGACCTTCTGACGCCATGCTGAGCTTTGTGAGGGCCCCTGCTGTCTGTCACACCCTTGTGTCTTTCGTATTTCGCATCTGTATGCCTGCCTCTCTACATCCTGCATGACCATTGTCTGTCTGTTCGCACCCCCATCCCAGACGGCGCCAACGCTCCCCATGCGCCTCCTCACCGGTGGCCCCCTCCCATCTGTTGTGGGCGGGACTGGCTTTCGTGTGTGTCTTGTATACAGGAAACTCGGGGCTCTGCGCCCAGAGCTGGTACATGCTGCCTTTGAGTGTATGTGCTGGCTCTCCGCACGTGTGTTAACAATAAACTTACGCTTTTGATCAGACAAAGGACCTTTGAGTTTTCTCCTTCATTGGGTAGAAACTTCCGTAACACTAGAGAGAGAGACCAGAGAGAGAGACTAGAGAGAGAGACCAGAGAGAGATCTGAGAGAGAGACCAGAGAGAAAGATCTGAGAGAGAGACCAGAGAGAGATCTGAGAGAGAGACCAGAGAGAGACTAGAGAGAGAGACCAGAGAGGGACCAAAGAGAGACCAGAGAGAGACCAGAGAGAGATCTGAGAGAGAGACCAGAGAGAGACTAGAGAGAGAGATCTGAGAGAAAGACCAGAGAGAGAGACTAGAGAGAAATCTGAGAGACACCAGAGAGAGACCAGAGAGAGACCAGAAAGAGACTAGAGAGAGACCAGAGAGAGACCAGAAAGAGACTAGAGAGAGAGACCAGAGAGAAAGACCAGAGAGAGACCAGAGAGAGAGAGAGATCAGAGAGAGACCAGAGAGAGACCAGAGAGAGACCAGAGAGAGAGAGATCTGAGAGAGACCAGAGAGAGACCAGAGAGAGAGAGATCTGAGAAAGACCAGAGAGAGACCAGAGAGAGACCAGAGAGAGACCAGAGAGAGACTAGAGAGAGAGACTAGAGAGAGAGATCTGAGAGAGAGACCAGAGAGAGACCAGAGAGAGACCAGAGAGAGACCAGCGAGAGACACCAGAGAGAGAGATCTGAGACACCAGAGAGAAAGACCAGAGAGAGACCAGAGAGAGAGAGATCTGAGAGAGAGACCAGAGAGAGACCAGAGAGAGATCTGAGAGAAAGACCAGAGAGAGAGACTAGAGAGAGAGACCAGAGAGGGACCAGATAGAGACCAGAGAGAGAGATCTGAGAGAGAGACCAGAGAGAGATCTGAGAGAGAGACCAGAGAGAGACTAGAGAGAGAGATCTGAGAGAAAGACCAGAGAGAGACCAGAGAGAGACCAGAGAGAGACCAGAGAGAGATCTGAGAGAGAGACCAGAGAGAGACTAGAGAGAGAGATCTGAGAGAAAGACCAGAGTGAGAGACTAGAGAGAGATCTGAGAGAGAGACCAGAGAGAGACCAGAGAGAGACCAGAGAGAGATCATAGAGAGAGACCAGAGAGAGACCAGAGAGAGATCTGAGAGAGAGACCAGAGAGAGACTAGAGAGAGAGAGACCAGAGAGGGACCAGAGAGAGAGACTAGAGAGAGAGACTAGAGAGAGAGACTAGAGAGAGAGACCAGAGACCATTGTGCGCTCTGCAGAGGAAGTGATCGGCCGCAGCCTTCCATCGCTGCAGGACCTGTACGTCGCCCGAGCTCGAGGCCGGGCTGGTCGTATCACAGCCGACCCCTCTCACCCTGCACATGGACTATTCCAACCACTCCCCTCAGGCAGGAGACTGCGGTCCATCAGGACTAGAACATCCCGCCACAAGAACAGTTTCTTCCCCTCTGCTGTTGGACTCTTGAACACTTCTTAACCTGTCCCCCCGCCCTTTATAAAGTCACTTTACTGCCCATCATACGTCACTTTACTTCACTGTACTGCTGTCAACTTACATTGTGTGCACCATGTGCACTTGTATATTGTAAATAGTAACTATAACTCTATTTTAAATTTAAATTTATTCTTTAGAAGTGTTTTTTATTCTTATTTTTATTATCTCTTTTTGACTGTTGCACTGAGCCAAAGCAATTTCCTAGTCTGTGACCTCCTGTTACTTACGTGGCAATAAAAATGATTCTGATTCTGATTCTGAGAGGGACCAGAGAGAGACCAGAGAGAGACCAGAGAGAGACCAGATAAAGAAAAGTCCTGCTCACATGTGCAATAGAAGCAAAGTAGTAGATCTTCATCTGGACCAGTTTCTTCCAGTCCTTCTGGATCTTTCCGAGCATCGAGGCCGTCTCAGAGTTCTCCAGAGCCCTGCACGCCTCTTTGTAGTAATCCACCACCTGGACACAGAAATCCGTCAGTTATACTTATTTAGGTTAAAAACCTAAATCTAACACCTTCTCTGTCTCCATCCATAACACATATGTCCCCCCTCCCCATCCATAACACATCTGCCCCCCTCCCCATCCATAACACATCGTCCTCCCCCCCTCCCCATCCATAACACATCTGTCCTCCCCTCCCCATCCATAACACATCTGTCCCCCCTCCCCATCCATAACACATCTGTCCCCCCTCCCCATCCATAACACATCTGTCCTCCCCTCCCCATCCATAACACATCTGTCCTCCCCTCCCCTCCCCATCCATAACACATCTGTCCCCCCCTCCCCATCCATAACACATCTGTCCCCCCCTCCCCATCCATAACACATCTGTCCTCCCCTCCCCATCCATAACACATCTGTCCCCCTCCCCATCCATAACACATCTGTCCCCCCTCCCCATCCATAACACATCTGTCCCCCCTCCCCATCCATAACACATCTGTCCCCCCTCCCCATCCATAACACATCTGTCCCCCCCCACACCACCGCCATCCTCGTCTCTGCCCCTCTCTCCCCCCCCCCCCCCCCCCCCACCACCGCCATCCTCGTCTCCGCCCCTCTCCCCCCCACACCACCGCCATCCTCGTCTCCGCCCCTCACTCCCCCCACACCACCGCCATCCTCGTCTCCGCCCCTCACTCCCCCCCCCCCACACCACCGCCATCCTCGTCTCCGCCCCTCTCCCCCCCCCACACCACCGCCATCCTCGTCTCCGCCCCTCTCTCCCCCCCCCCACACCACCGCCATCCTCGTCTCCGCCCCTCTCTCCCCCCACACCACCGCCATCCTCGTCTCCGCCCCTCCCCCCCCCCCCCACACCACCGCCATCCTCGTCTCCGCCCCTCTCCCCCCCCCACACCACCGCCATCCTCGTCTCCGCCCCTCTCTCCCCCCCCCCCACACCACCGCCATCCTCGTCTCCGCCCCTCTCTCCCCCCGCCATCCTCTTCTCCGCCCCTCTCCCCCCCCACACCACCGCCATCCTCGTCTCTGCCCCTCTCCCCCCCACACCACCGCCATCCTCGTCTCCGCCCTTCTCTCCCCCCCCCACACCACCGCCATCCTCGTCTCCGCCCCTCCCCCCCCCCCCCCACACACCACCGCCATCCTCGTCTCCGCGCCTCTCTCCCCCCCCCCCACACCACCGCCATCCTCATCCACAGCCTCGTCACCTCTAGGATTGACTACTGCAACTCACTCCTCTTTGGCCTCCCCAACAAATCCCTCCAGAAACTGCAGCTCGCATCATCACCCGGACCCCCACAGCTGACCACATCACCCCCACATCCCCCGGACCCCCACAGCTGACCACATCCCCCGGACCCCCACAGCTGACCACATCCCCCCCACATCACCCGGACCCCCACAGCTGACCACATCCCCCCACATCACCGGGACCCCCACAGCTGACCACATCACCCCCACATCACCCGGACCCCCACAGCTGACCACATCACCCCCACATCACCCGGACCCCCACAGCTGACCACATCACCCCCACATCACCCGGACCCCCACAGCTGACCACATCACCCCCACATCACCCGGACCCACACAGCTGACCACATCACCCCCGTACTCCGACAACTCCTAACTTAACTTCCTGTTAAACAACGCATTCATTTCAAAATACTCCTCACCACTTTCAAAGCACTTCACAACCTGCTCCTCGGTACTTATCTGACCTCCTCCACCCTGCCACTCCTGCTCCTCCTCCACCCTGCCACTCCTGCTCCTCCTCCACCCTGCCACTCCTGCTCCTCCTCCACCCTGCCACTCCTGCTCCTCCTCCACCCTGCCACTCCTGCTCCTCCTCCACCCTGTCACTCCTGCTCCTCCTCTACCCTGTCACTCCTGCTCCTCCTCCACCCTGTCACTCCTGCTCCTCCTCCACCCTGCCACTCCTGCTCCTCCTCCACCCTGTCACTCCTGCTCCTCCTCTACCCTGCCACTCCTGCTCCTCCTCCACCCTGTCACTCCTGCTCCTCCTCTACCCTGTCACTCCTGCCCGCACACTCCGCTCCTCCTCCACCCTCACACTCTCCGTCCCCCCAGTCAGACTCATCACCGTGGGACACAGAGCCTTCAGCCACTCTGCCCCCCAGCTCTGGAACTCTCTCCCCCCTGACCTCAGTACCATCGACTCTCTCCCACTCTTCAAATCCAGACTCTGTTCAGACTGTCCGCACACGCACACACACACGCACACAACTAATGTTTTATTCTGTTGATCCTGTTTTTAATACAGATCCTGTACAGTGTCCTTGGGTGTCTAGAAAGGCGCTTTTAAATAAAATGTATTATTATTATTATTAAAACTGTGAACTCTACATCATAAACAGTATATCAGCAGGTGCCAATACAAGTCTATGGGGAAGAGGCCATTCAAAAAGAAATGCTGAGACGAGAGAGACAGACCAGAGGGAGAGAGACCAGAGAGAGAGAAGAGAGCTCAGAGAGAGAGAGAGAGACCAGACAGAGACCAGAGAGAGACCACTGAGAGAGAGCAGAGAGAGAGAAGAGAGCTCAGAGAGAGAAAAGAGAGAGAAAAGAGAGCTCAGAGAGAAAAGAGAGCTCAGAGAGAGAGAGAGAGAGAGAGACCAGAGAGACCAGAGAGAGAGGAGAGAGCTCAGAGAGAGAGAGAGACCAGACAGAGACCAGAGAGAGACCACTGAGAGAGAGCAGAGAGAGAGAAGAGAGCTCAGAGAAAAGAGAGCTCAGAGAGAGAAAAGAGAGCTCAGAGAGAAAAGAGAGCTCAGAGAGAGAGCGAAAGAGACCAGACAGAGACCAGAGAGAGAGACCAGAGAGAGACCAGAGAGAGAGAAGAGAGCTCAGAGAGAGAGCGAGAGAGACCAGACAGAGACCAGAGAGAGAGACCAGAGAGAGAGAGAGTAGAGAGAGAGAGAAGAGAGTAGAGAGCTCAGAGAGAGAAAAGAGAACTCAGAAAGTGAAGAGAGACCAGAGAGAGAGAGAAAGAGCTCAGAGAGAGAGGAGACCATAGAGACCCCTCTCCCCATCATCTTTAGGGGTGCAACGGTTTGAAAAAATCACGGTTCGGTTCGTACCTCGGTTCAGAGGCCACGGTTCGGTTCATTTTTCGGTTCATTTTTCAAAAAAAAAGTGTTGTCTTTTTAATAAACACAGCTCATGTGGACTCGGCACCTGCTCTGACTGCCCCCCCTGACCTAGAAATGAATTAAGGGGAAGGAAATGGATGGATGGATGGAATATTCCATCCATCCAATTATGTCTATTTAACATAATTAATGAAAAACAACACAAAGTGCAACATAAGAAGGCACTTTATGAGGATATTTACTCTCATATATTACACCACCTTCCTGATTCTCCCGAGGAGGCGCTCCATTCTGGGCCCAGCCTTATTCACTGCATTTATTTAATTTTTGGCATTATCAGTTGTGACTGGGATATTAGTACTGGGCCTTTGTCTTCCATTCCTCCGCTGCTTGTGTCAGAACCTGCGCTGTGTGACTGTGTGACTGTCGTAGAGGGGGCGTGTCTGCAACGCCAGACTTTTCATCTCCCAGTCTGCGGTGATGAAGTGAGCGGTTCCGCTCATGGATCTATAGGTTCCGCGGGACGTCCGAGCGTCAGTCGTGAGCGCAGCTGAGGATGTGCAGCAGAGTTGACTTTAGCCCTGGGTCTGACTGTGCGTAAAGGAGCTGCTTAAATGCCGCGACAATAAGCGGTCGTTGAGACGCTTTTTTCACTCATGTCTTTCTTGTGCCACAGTGCTTACACATCGTGACAGTTTTGTCGAATATTAATTATCAGTGAACAGTACAGTACAGTGAAGCCAAAATGCTCTCATACTGGGGATTTAAATGACGCGTGGCTTTCAAGCATCTCCGTTCCTCCGCTCGCAATGACCGCGCTGTGTGTGGACTGAACAACGTGCGCACAACTTTTTTTTCATGAATCAAACCGCGGATCACGTCTGTACCGAACCGAAGACGTTGAACCGAACGGATCACGGATCAGTGATGAACCGTTGCACCTCTAATCATCTTCCTCCCCTCTCCCCTTAGTCTCCCCCTCTCTCCCCCCCTCTCACCCCCCCTCACCCCCTCTCACCTGAGCGCTGATGCGAGCCACCAGGAAGCTCTTCCTGTTGTCCAGCATAGACTTCTCCAACAGACACTCCTGGGCCTGACCCTAAAACGAAATCAAGTCATTCACAAAACTGGTGTGGACATGGATCCTTTAAAGCTGGAAAACCTCTCTCTAAATACATGCTTTTCACACTTTTCACACTTTTCCCCCACTGTGGGCGAATTAAGTTTAAACCATGAAGCAGGACACAAACAATGGGTTCTCGCTCGTGCAATTTCACAGATATGAAACTTATGTTTATTAAAGGTCTGAGCAATAACTGAGAGATACAGCTGAAGAGGATGGAGAGAGAGAGAGACAGAGATAGAGACAGAGACAGAGAGAGAGGGAGAGAGAGCGAGAGAGACAGAGAGAGAGACAGAGAGAGAGACAGAGAGAGAGACAGAGACAGAGAGAGAGGGAGAGAGAGCGAGAGAGACAGAGAGAGACAGAGAGAGACAGAGAGAGAGACAGAAACAGAGCGAGAGAGCGAGAGCGCGAGACAGAGAGAGAGAGAGAGAGCGAGAAACAGAGAGAGAGACCTCACTGCAGTGTGTTGGGCCTCACCAACATGAGGTTGATGTTGAGGTTGAGGATCTGGTGACTCATGTCCACGCTGTAGTTGTTGCTGAAGTGGTCGCGCAGATACGAGAAGGCTCCGGCCGAGCACTGGAAGTGTGTGCAGGACACTTTCATCCCCTGAGGACACAGACACACACACAGACACACACACCGACACACAGACACACACAGGCACACACACATTAAAGACTTATTGGTGGAGCTGGTGTGTGTCAGCAGCAGAGGACCATCTTTGGCCCGAGGGCCTTAGTTTGGACGTGCCTGGTGTGGACAGATGAGCTGCAGTCACTCTGTGCGTCACTCTGTGCGTCTCTCTGTGCGTCTCTCTGTGCGTCTCTCTGTGCGTCTCTCTGTGCGTCTCTCTGTGCGTCTCTCTGTGCGTCTCTCTGTGCGTCTCTCTGTGCGTCTCTCTGTGCGTCTCTCTGTGCGTCTCTCTGTGCGTCTCTCTGTGCGTCTCTCTGTGCGTCTCTCTGTGCGTCTCTCTGTGCGTCTCTCTGTGCGTCTCTCTGTGCGTCTCTCTGTGCGTCTCTCTGTGCGTCTCTCTGTGCGTCTCTCTGTGCGTCTCTCTGTGCGTCTCTCTGTGCGTCTCTCTGTGCGTCTCTCTGTGCGTCTCTCTGTGCGTCTCTCTCTTGCGTCTCTCTGTGCGTCTCTCTGTGCGTCTCTCTGTGCGTCTCTCTGTGCGTCTCTCTGTGCGTCTCTCTGTGCGTCTCTCTGTGCGTCTCTCTGTGCGTCTCTCTGTGCGTCTCTCTGTGCGTCTCTCTGTGCGTCTCTCTGTGCGTCTCTCTGTGCGTCTCTCTGTGCGTCTCTCTGTGCGTCTCTCTGTGCGTCTCTCTGTGCGTCTCTCTGTGCGTCTCTCTGTGCGTCTCTCTGTGCGTCTCTCTGTGCGTCTCTCTGTGCGTCTCTCTGTGCGTCTCTCTGTGCGTCTCTCTGTGCGTCTCTCTGTGTGCCATACCTCCTCTGAGACCCGGTTGTCCATGGCCCCCAGCATTGAGTGCAGGGCCCCTGGAATCAGACACCAGTATAATATGATAATACAGTGGTTTTATTTATATATATTTCAAATATTTCAAACATATTTTACCCAGATTGTACAGGATGCAGGCCTGTTCGTAGCTGATGTCCTCGTGCGTCACAGATTTACCAGAAAAGATCTCTGTCCTGTTGGAGAGAAGACACGAAATTGGTAATTTGGTAGAGTAGGTGTGTGTCTCTCACCAGGAGGTGGGCTGTGTGTGTGTGTGTGTGTTTGTGTGCGTGCGTGCGTGCGTGTGTGTGCGTGTGTGTGGACTGTGTGGGTGTGTGTGTGTGGACTGTGTGGGTGTGTGTGGGTGTGTGTGTGTGGGCGTGTGTGTGTGTGCGTGCGTGTCACCAGGAGATGGGCACAGCCGCCTCCTGCCCTGGGCCCATAGGGACTCTGCTCTGGAGGTAGTGCAGTTGCCCAAAGTACTTCCTCAGAGTACTGCATCCTTCAAAGTCCCGGGTCACGTTCACTGCACTCTGGAAAACAAAAAAACCTCAGAGTGAAAACAACACAATCACTTTGATACTGTCCATAAAGAGTGTGACATCACCACAGTGTGACATCACCACAGCGTGACATCACCACAGCGTGACATCACCACAGAGTGACATCACCACAGAGTGACATCACCACAGAGTGACATCACCACAGAGTGACATCACCACAGAGTGACATCACCACAGTGTGACATCACCACAGAGTGACATCACCACAGTGTGACATCACCACAGAGTGACATCACCACAGTGTGACATCACCACAGCGTGACATCACCACAGCGTGACATCACCACAGCGTGACATCACCACAGTGTGACATCATCACAGTGTGACATCACCACAGTGTGACATCACCACAGAGTGACATCACAGTGTTAGCAGAAGAGTGCATTAGTGTAAAACACTTTCTAACTGCTTTAGTTTCAGATAAAGCGGTGTCTCCGCGGCTGTGGAAGTTAAAGTTCCTGCTCTGTAGTCATATGGCAGCATGTAGAGTGTGAAGAGAATCAGGCCGAATACCGATCCCTGTGGCACACCAGATGTTACTTTAGAAACAGGTGAGGAGTTGTGGTTCACTTTAACAAACTGATACAGATCTGATAAATAGGATCTAAACCAGTAAAGTCCCTCTGAGAAAAAAGGAACATTTCAAATTGGTTTATAATCGTTTTTTTTCAGACAAGGTTTGATTACTGAAGCTTGTGGGACAGAGCCAACTTTCTAAAGATGTATTTATGATATTTGAAATAGGCTGTATTATTCAGGAAAAAGAGTATTTGAAAGGTCCAGCTCGGCTCTTCAAAAACTAAAATTGAGGTTTTATAGGATGTGACACAGCCATGATCTGGTCTGAGCCAGTTCACTGAAAAACACTTGATAAATGAAACTACAGGGTCATGTGGTCAAAAACATGTCTTACCACAGAAATGAAATACATTTGAAGTTGCAGACCTCCCCTTTAACCATTACACTTTGGTAAAGGTCTGTGAAAAGTGGAGCAGCAGAAGACGAAAGGTAAAAAACAAATACAGACGTGATTTATTTTGTGCCCATATTATGCGTTATATCTTTTTAATGCAAAGTCTGATATAGTTTACACTTCCATATAAATATAGCTGAGAAAATAAGCTTTAAAATGATATATAGCTTGTGGCTTATGAAGTTCAAAATTCATCTGCTATTGCCAGCAGAAGTATTTTTTTCTCGTTTGCTCCCGCCGGCGGGGGCTAGCGAGCTTAAGGGGTCAATGTCCCGGGGGCCATAGATAATTCATTCGCGGGCCTGATTTGGCCCGCGGGCCTTGACTTTGACACATGTGTTGTAGAAGATTAAAAAGATGTTACTTTGGCACCAAATAAACACAAAACACTCATGAATTAGTCGAAAATCAAGAATGTATTGATTCTTTCAATATTCAATGGATTGAATTTTGACCTCCTCTTCTTTTTCTTTCTCTTTATAATTTACTGAAAATTAGATATGTATTAGACATTGCCAGTATTATTCTATCAAATCACGCAGTCTAAATATCCACAACCACCAAGCATTTTTAATGCAAGGAGAAACTTAGGTAACTTTAAACACAAATAAAACAAATGGACCTGTCCGACTCGAGTGTCTATGCTTCGTGTGTCTCTGGTTCTGTCCAAGTGTCTATGATCCGCGTGTCTCGCGTGTCTCCGCCTGTCTGGGTTCTGTCTGCGTATATGTAAATGTAAATGTCTGTCTGTGGTTCTGTTCGGGTGTCTATGGTCCTGTCTGTGGTTCTGTTCGCGTGTCTATGGTCCGCGCTCGGAGCCCAGACGGCAGTGCGTTCACTGAGCTGTCAGAGCGGGGGTCACAGCAGCTGCTCCCGGGGCCAGAGCGGAGGATGTAACCATAACGTTCGGTTTATCAAAACATATCACAATATTTAACGTATAACACTAGTGAATTTCACCTAGATTTTTTCAGACATTAAAGACAAGATGTTATATAATAATTGTTTAATGAAAAAACAATTTTGCCAAAAAAATGACAATCGACCTATTTTTACTGTTTACTCGGAACGTGCCAGCGTGACATCCGACGGGTTTTCCCAGATCGCATCACATATATACGTTAATGCAATTTAATTATAAAGATTAACATTAGTACAAAATATGTATATGTTGTCTGTTATGCTCTTACTTTGAAAAAGCATTCAATAGCAACACATATACATTCACATGCACGGCTTGAACACACAGCCAATTTTACACATTTCCTTTTGACAAGGAAAGAAGATAACAATCTGATAACGTTACGTAATTGCACACAAGCAACCAAAAGATGTGCAAACAAAATTGCCTCAGACAAGAATCGAACCTGGGTTCTCCAGGTCCCAGTCTTCAATGCTAACCATTTGGCCAACATAGAATCTCTGGGCCAGACAGGTTTGCACGCAGTATCATACCTGAGCGTCTAAGTCGCTGGCAGAGCTAAAGCGGACTTAACCTGCCACCTTGTGGCGATAAGATGTAATATTTTTCACGCAGCTGCGTGATTCCCGAAAAGCGTGAGTGAAGACGACAAAACGAAATGGGGCCTACTGTAGTTGCTAAGATGGTTGCTAAGGTGGTTGCTAAAGCTGTTGCTAAGGTTGTTGCTAAAGCTGTTGCTAAGATGGTTGCTAAAGCTGTTGCTAAGGTTGTTGCTAAAGCTGTTGCTAAGGTAGTTGCTAAGGTAGTTGCTATGATGGTTGCTAAGGTGGTTGCTAAAGCTGTTGCTAAGGTTGTTGCTAAAGCTGTTGCTAAAGCTGTTGCTAAGGTAGTTGCTAAGATGGTTGCTAAGGTAGTTGCTAAGATGGTTGCTAAGGTGGTTGCTAAAGCTGTTGCTAAGGTTGTTGCTAAAGCTGTTGCTAAAACTGTTGCTAAGGTGGTTGCTAAAGCTGTTGCTGAGGTGGCTGCTAAGGTGGTTGCTAGCTTTGAGCAAAACTTCGGCCATGAGCACTTCCTTTTTGGTTTTTATGGAGCTAGAGGGTTAGCATTGTCCGTCGCCCACCTGTCTCAGTGATTCCAGTTTCTTCAGTTGCTCGTTGTAGTTGTCTGGATTCTCTCCATAATTCTTCAGGATGAACTAGAAAACAACACAGAGATAATGATATTAATGACAATAAATCAATACATTAATAATAATAATAAAGTAAATGGATAAGATCTTTCAAGACGTTTCTAGTAGTTGTTGATTTTTTGCGCTTTACATTTTGAACAATGCAGGCCACTTTTTAGTGAGAGTAAGTAAGATGTTTAGTTATATAGCGCATTTCACAGACCATGGTCATACATGAGGCCCACTACGGTTACACGGACTGGTCCAGAGGCCGACAACCCCGATATCAGAACTACTTTGACAGTATTGGGCTGTCCCCGAGCTTTAAGAATGATAAATGTGCATCAAAATTAACACCTAACAGAAGCTAAGTTTACTAGCGCCCCCCTCACCACAGCAACATCAGAGCCATCAATGGAAAACCAGTGGATTCTGGAGGTTCTGAGCTTTACGATGAGGTATAACAGGCCTATATTGTTAGAGCTGAAGCAGGGACTACTGTAAAGCCTAGCGTACATCGACAGAGAAACTGGGGACAACTAGTTGCAAGGCGGCTTTTGGCAACTGAGAGGAGATGGTGGGAGATGATCAGTTGCCGAAATCGGTCGATGTGCGCGCTCTTACAACTGGAGATGATCAGTCGGTCTCCAGTTCCAGTCAGTTGCCCGTGTTCTACTTTTCGGCAACTAGTTGTCCTCAGTTGCCCCGATGTGCGCGCTCCATGCGCCGCTCCAACAACGTGTGTGTATTGCGTGTATTGCGAGCCCGCAACAGTTTGTTGTCAGAAAACACACTGTAGTTGAGGCCAGTTGCTGTCGATGTACGCGCTGTTATTCAAGAGACTGGCCTGCGACTCAGAGTTGCCCGTTTTCGCCAGATTGTCGATGTGTGCGGGGCAGCAACTCAGAGGCGACGGATATAATCAGTTGCCAGTCCGATGTACGCTAGGCTTAAGATAGCCAGGCACAGGGCCACGCAACATGACACAGAGGGCCGCAGTTGGCTCGTGGGCTGTGGGTTGGCCGGGCCTGGAGTACTGCATTATTTTATAGTGGTCGGTGATTGCACAATACTCTCTTTGACACATTTATCTCTGCTTGGGGATGCCATAAAGACAGATAACAGGACGACACAGAAGTTACTGGAAGAAAAGAGGAGGTAAACAGGAGGAGAGCAGTGTTTGGGAAAAGTCAAAGCACTTTGGAACAGAGTCAAAAATATTGTCAGTAAAATGGTTGTTCTCTGCAGAGTAATAAAATAGGATAAAAAATACATTTTCTTGATCTCACACAGGAGAATTTCATATGTCACATGTACAGTATGTATATACAGTATGTCACATATACAGTATGTCACATATACAGTATGTCACATGTACAGTATGTATATACAGTATGTATATACAGTATGTCACATATACAGTATGTCTATACAGTATGTCACATATACAGTATGTCACATATACAGTATGTCACATATACAATATGTCACATATACGGTATGTCACATATACAGTATGTCTATACAGTATGTCACATATACAGTATGTCACATATACAGTATGCATATATACAATATGTCACATATACGGTATGTCACATATACAGTATGTCACATATACAGTATGTCACATATACAGTATGTCACATATACAGTATGTCACATATACAGTATGTCACATATACAGTATGTCACATATACAGTATGTCACATATACAATATGTCACATATACAGTATGTCACATATACAGTATGTCACATATACAGTATGTCACATATACAGTATGTCACATATACAGTATGTCACATATACAGTATGTCACATATACAGTATGCATATATACAATATGTCACATATACAGTATGTATACAGGGTTTCCTCCAGAGGGGGGGATGGGGGGGGGGATCAGTCCCCCCCTCAATTTTCTTACATGCATGTATACAATTCTCACATCATAAAGTGCAAAAACATTATTTTCATTGGGACATATCTGATCTGGCTCACTGTCTAATCTATAATCTAAAACATGACAGTAAAGAAATTACTTACAAACACCAAATCAGAAACTTCCGTACAGGAAAAATGTGTTATTCTTTATTCTGAATCGGAGTCTCCTCAGATGAATAGCGATTCTCTTTTCGCGGTCTTGAAGATTTATTTGTAGCATGATTTTTGCTGTATATGAACTTGGTGTGTTCATCCTGATTGGCTAAGGAAGAACCAGCGTACTGTGTTCTGCGTCCTGATTGGCTAAGGAAGAACCAGCGTAATGTGTTCTGCGTCCTGATTGGGTAAGGAAGAACCAGCGTACTGTGTTCTGCATCCTGATTGGCTAAGGGGTAATCTCTGTGCCGTGTTTCCTGTACATCACAGCATTCAGACTGACAAATGTAAATCCATGTCTGATTGCTAGCAGTGTGACTGTAAGTGCTGTATGCTAATTTTCTCCTTGACAAAACCATGGACTAAACCCACAACATGGTTAGTGCTAAAAAGTTGAACTTCTGGACATATTGCAACGACGACAGCAAAGAGGAGCACGGTGCGGAGCCCAGGCCATTGACGAGGGATTTTCACACAGCACTAACCCCATGTCTTTCAAAAAAATTTACAATTTCGATTTCAAAGCATGGTGCTGCCTAGAGGTGCAACGGTTCATCACTGATCCGTGATCCGTTCGGTTCAACGTCTTCGGTTCGGTACAGACGTGATCCGCGGTTTGATTTATGAAAAAAAAGTTGTGCGCACGTTGTTCAGTCCACACACAGCGCGGTCATTGCGAGCGGAGGAACGGAGATGCTTGAAAGCCACGCGTCATTTAAATCCCCAGTATGAGAGCATTTTGGCTTCACTGTACTGTACTGTTCACTGATAATTAATATTCGACAAAACTGTCACGATGTGTAAGCACTGTGGCACAAGAAAGACATGAGTGAAAAAAGCGTCTCAACGACCGCTTATTGTCGCGGCATTTAAGCAGCTCCTTTACGCACAGTCAGACCCAGGGCTAAAGTCAACTCTGCTGCACATCCTCAGCTGCGCTCACGACTGACGCTCGGACGTCCCGCGGAACCTATAGATCCATGAGCGGAACCGCTCACTTCATCACCGCAGACTGGGAGATGAAAAGTCTGGCGTTGCAGACACGCCCCCTCTACGACAGTCACACAGTCACACAGCGCAGGTTCTGACACAAGCAGCGGAGGAATGGAAGACAAAGGCCCAGTACTAATATCCCAGTCACAACTGATAATGCCAAAAATTAAATAAATGCAGTGAATAAGGCTGGGCCCAGAATGGAGCGCCTCCTCGGGAGAATCAGGAAGGTGGTGTAATATATGAGAGTAAATATCCTCATAAAGTGCCTTCTTATGTTGCACTTTGTGTTGTTTTTCATTAATTACGTTAAATAGACATAATTGGATGGATGGAATATTCCATCCATCCATCCATCCATTTCCTTCCCCTTAATTCATTTCTAGGTCAGGGGGGGCAGTCAAAGCAGGTGCCGAGTCCACATGAGCTGTGTTTATTAAAAAGACAACACTTTTTTTTTGAAAAATGAACCGAAAAATGAACCGAACCGTGGCCTCTGAACCGAGGTACGAACCGAACCGTGATTTTTTCAAACCGTTGCACCCCTAGTGCTGCCACCACCAGGTTTGACAGTGGGGATGGTGTGTTCAGGGTGATGAGCTGTGTTGCTTTTACACCAAACATATCATTTATCATTGTGGCCAAAAAGTTCGATTTTGGTTTCATCTGACCAGAGCACCTTCTTCCACATGTTTGGTGTGTCTCCCAGGTGGCTTGTGGCAAACTTTAAAACGAGACTTTTTATGGATATCTTTGAGAAATGGCTTTCTTCTTGCCACTCTCCCACCTCAGCTGTAGTTATCTGCAGTTCATCCAGAGTGATCATGGGCCTCTTGGCTGCATCTCTGATCAGTCTTCTCCTTGTTTGAGATGAAAGTTTGGAGGGACGGCCGGGTCTTGGTAGATTTGTAGTGGTCTGATACTCCTTCCATTTCAATATAATTGCTTGCACAGTGCTCCTTGAGATGTTTAAAGCTTGGGAATTCGTTTTGTATCCAAATCCGGCTTTAAACTTCTCCACAACAGTATCTCGGACCTGCCTGGTGTGTTCCTTTGTCTTCATGGTTCTCCCTGTGCTTTAAACAGAACCCTGAGACTATCAAAGAGCAGGTGCATTTATACGGAGACTTGATTACACACAGGTGCATTCTATTTATCATCATCAGTCATTTAGGACAACATTGGATCATTCAAAGATCCTCACTGAACTTCTGGACTGAGTTTGCTGCACTGAAAGTAAAGGGGCCGAATAATATTGCACACCCCACTTTTCAGTTTTTTATTTGTTAAAAAAGTTATCTAATAAATTTCGTTCCACTTCACGATTGTGTCCCACTTGTTGTTGATTCATGACAAAAAATTAAAATTGTATATCTTTATGTTTGAAGCCTGAAATGTGGCGAAATGTTGAAAGGTTCAAGGGGGTCGAATACTTTCGCAAGGCACTGTATGTCACATATACAGTATGTCACATGTACAGTATGTCACATGTACAGTATGTATATACAGTATGTATATACAGTATGTCACATATACAGTATGTCACATATACAGTATGTATATACAGTATGTCACATGTACAGTATGTATATACAGTATGAATATATACAGTATGTCACATATACAGTATGTCATATACAGTATGTCATATACAGTATGTCATATACAGTATGTCACATATACAGTATGTCACATATACAGTATGTCACATATACAGTATGTCACATATACAGTATGTATATACAGTATGTCACATATACATTATGTATATACAGTATGTCACATATACAGTATGTCACATGTACAGTATGTCACATATACAGGTTTCTGGTTGATTTTTGGAATGAACCAAAACTGGACCAAATATAAAAACATTGTTTTATTTCTAACCTTTGATGATTGTTGGGTTCATGGTTTAGAATAAATGATTGTGGTTGTTTTGCTGATATCCCACAGGTCGTGGTCGCCATAACATTAATGCTTTAAGTTATTAATGATGATAGAAAATCATTTTAGGGGCCACTGACTATGGTCTCATGGTCGGATGTGGCCCACGGGCCTGAGTTTGACATTTCTGCACTAATGCATCATGGGATATAAACACTATCCATGTCCATGTTTTCGTGCGGAGACTAACTTCATCTTTTTCATACAGAATAATATGTTTGAGGATCAAAAAGTGTTGTAAAAGTAACATTTGTGAGTGAGACCCGAGCAGAGCTTTGATCCTATGATCAAAAACACAGACACCTGTTGAGTTAGATGCAGGAGGCACAGTGGCCTCACAGCAAGAAGGTCCTGGGTATGATTCCACCTCCAGGCCTTTCTGGGTGGAGTTTGCATGTTCTCCCTGTGTCTGCTTAGGTTTTCTCCAGGTGCTCCGGTTTCCCCACTAAATACAATAGGTCTGGCATGGCAATTGTAAAGTGCTTTGTGAGTCTGGTCTGTGACAAGCGCTATATAAATAAACATTACTTATTTTTGTTTTGGGTTTAAAAGTAAATGACCCCAGCTTTAATAATGTGTAAATGTCAGGTGTGTCAAACTGAATTTACAGACCACTTCTGCAGTGCATCATGGGAAAGTAGCTTTAATAAATCTTGCTCCAAAATGTCACTAAATGTCAAGACTAAAACATTATTGTAAATAATATTGTTTTTCTCCACAGAGAGTTGTGTAAAGTTACTAATGACCCCAATTCTCATCACATACAGAGAAGTATACTCTCAGTGAGTCACTATTGGACTCTTTAGGATGAGAGGGAAAAATACATTCATTTATGATCTGGGAGTGAGGAGGAGGTTACATGGATATTATTACAGGTGTGTGGAGTGGAAGGAAACTTTACCTTCACGCCACACATGAAAGTATTTATGATTCTAATGCCCCGTATTGTTTTGTTGAGCACTTTGAGTTGCCTGGTGTATGAACTGTTCTATACAAATAAACTTGCTTTACCCCAGCTTTGATCATTCACACAATCTGTTGACATTTGTCATCTCTATCATGAGGTGCATATGACAGTCACAACACCAGGGCTGTTATCATTACACATGTGTTTAACCAGGGCTGAGGGACCAGAGAGAGACCAGAGAGAGACCAGAGTGAGGGGGAGACCAGAGTGAGGGAGAGACCAGAGTGAGGGAGAGACCAGAGAGAGACCAGACACCAGAGAGAGAGAGAGACCAGAGAGAGGGAGAGACCAGAGAGAGAGAGAGACCAGAGTGAGACCAGAGAGAGACCAGAGTGAGGGAGAGACCAGAGAGAGATAGAGAGAGAGACCAGAGAGAGAGAGAGAGACCAGAGAGACCAGAGAGAGAGACCAGAGAGAGAGGAGAGAAAGAGAGAGACCAGAGAGACACCAGAGAGACACCAGAGAGAGACCAGAGAGAGACCAGAGAGAGACCAGAGTGAGGGAGAGACCAGAGAGAGAGAGAGACCAGAGAGAGAGAGAGACCAGAGAGAGAGAGAGAGACCAGAGAGAGAGAGAGACGAGAGAAAGAGAGAGACCAGAGAGAGAGAGACCAGAGAGAGAGAGACCAGTGAGAGAGACCAGAGTGAGAGAGAGACCAGAGAGAGACCAGAGAGAACAGAGTGAGGGAGAGAGACCAGCGAGAGAGAGACGAGAGAGAGACTAGAGAGAGAGACCAGAGGGAAACCATAGGGAGATCAACCGGGATTCAAACCCAGGACCTTATAGCTGAGACGCGAAAGTGCTAACCACTCAGCCACCGCACGTACATTTCCAACATACAAAAGCCAAATCAACAATAACATGTCTTTCTCACAGGGAACTAATGGCTACAAGCTAACGTTAACAAACAAAGGCGGTGGTCACGAAAGCACGAGGAAAAGCCTAATTAGCTAACTAGCATAACAGCTAATCTTTCTGGAAAAGTCTCCGTATGCGAAGGCTGGATGACACCTCCGGACATGGACGCCTCTGTCTCGGCTGGACCCCTGGATGTCCTCCCCCGGATGTCCTCCCTTGGATGTCCTCCCCTGGATGTCCTCCCCGGTGCCCTGCTGCTCTCACCCCGCTCACCTGCTTGACAGACGGGCTGAGCTGGAAGTCCCCTGCCTCTTTCAGATCCAGCCAGATCATGGGCATCCGCGGGACCGCCTCCATGTTGGCGGTGGTAGGGGGGCTCTCCCGCGGCTCTCGGGCCTCCTCACGGCCGTATGCGGGGCTGGTTCTGCGGGGTGAGGGTTGTGAGGAGGTTTGTTAGGGTTTCTCGCTTCCCCCAAACAACTGTGTCATGGATCCATTAGCGCTTCCACCGGAAACGGGAGCGGAGATGCCGCAGGGTGTTCTGGGAGTTGTAGTTTCCCTGTATGTGTCTCCTTTTTTATATATATCTCTTGTCTTCGTTTACTATTTTTAAACCACTATACGATGTTAGACTTTTATACTACTCTATAATAGACTTATTAGATATTTTGCTAAAAATTATAAATTTTATTTTATTTTAGGATAGAGTTCATTTTTTATATATATCTCTTGTCTTCGATAGAGTTCATTTTTTATATATATCTCTTGTCTTCGTTTACTATTTTTAAACCACTATACGATGTTAGACTTTTATACTACTCTATAATAGACTTATTAGATATTTTGCTAAAAATTATAAATTTTATTTTATTTTAGGATAGAGTTCATTTATTGTTCATTTATCTTGTGCTGTGTGCTCCTCATTCTACTGTTCTGTAACTGGTGATGCAACACTGACATTTCCCCACAGTGGGACCTCAAAAGGACATTATCTTAAACGAAACGAACAAACATTTACATCTAAAATGTAAATATGTACCTGTGCCACATTGTTTGTGTGATTTCTGTTTTGTGGCAACAGTCACTATGAAATATATATATATATATATATATATATATATATATATATATATATATATATATATATATATACAATAAGTTAAATTATCATTAATAATAATTATTGTATTATTATTTTGAAGTACGTTACACAGTTGCTAGTATAATATCCACCAGCAGATGGCAGTGTGCCTGCACCTGAGCCTGTCCTCAGTGGATTTATGAGGGTCTTTCTCAGTTTGTCATAAATCTAAGATAAGAAACTATGACCCAAGAACAGAGCAGGGTTTTCAATCTCTACAATATTTACATTAAAACAATTGTGAATCTACGTCAAACTCAAAATCTCACATATTTCATTAAAGAGTGGGTATGTTTCCTTACCTCTGTTGACCAGAGAGAGAGAGACCAGAGAGAGAGACCAGAGAGAGAGACCAGAGCGAGAGACCAGAGAGAGACCAGAGAGAGAGACCAGAGAGAGAGAGACCAGAGAGAGAGACCAGAGAGAGAGACCAGAGAGAGACCAGAGAGAGACCAGAGAGAGAGACCAGAGAGAGACCAGAGAGAGGGACCAGTGAGAGAGACCAGTGAGAGAGACCAGAGAGAGAGAGAGACCAGAGAGAGACCAGGGAAAGGCCAGAGAGAGAGACCAGAGAGAGACCAGAGAGAGACCAGAGAGAGAGACCAGAGAGAGACCAGCGAGAGACCAGAGAAATCCCAGAGAGAGAGACCAGAGAAAGGCCAGAGAGAGAGACTAGAGAGAGGCCAAAGAGAGAGAGACCAGAAAGAGACCAGAGAGACCAGAGAAAGACCAGAGAGAGAGACCAGAGAGAGACCATGGAAAGGCCAGAGAGAGAGACCAGAGAGAGACCACAGAGAGACCAGGGAAAGGCCAGAGAGAGAGACCAGAGAGAGACCAGAGAGAGACCAGAGAGAGACCAGCGAGAGAGACCAGAGAGAGAGACTAGAAAGAGGCCAGAGAGAGAGATCTAGCAGAGACCCAGACTAGACTGTAGTCTGTAACATGTCTACGTGTGTGATGTCCAGAACACTGAGTAATTTTTTCACATATTTTGGTCCTTCTTGCGCCGGATGCCAACATGCTTTTGTGCGGAGCTGAGGATGCCTCAAACATGGAGTTGGAGCAGCGGTGAGGCCTTCTTCATTCAGAACTGCTTTGAGGACTCCATCTTTGAGGCATGGCCAGTCTCTGGATTGAAGTTGACGGCAGAACTACAGTTTCTGGACATCCACAACAGACAAGGTAAAACAAAATAACCAAAAAAAAAAAGTGAATAAAATAAAGAATTTAAGAAACAGAATTCTCAAAGACTGAGAAAGTACAGGCCTAAAAGCATAAAAGAGTTATGGCTTGCATTATAGTAAGGAACTATAATACACTGCAAAGACTGCAGTTAGAGTACTTGACTTGAACGGGGTTCATGTAGAATTCAAGACGTCTGTGTGAATGAAAATTTAGTTTAAATTTTTTTATTTTTAAAGTGTGATTTGAACGACTTTCTGATTCTAAAATCATCGGACAAAACCACTTCATATTTCAGTGATAGGGTAATCTAATGACCAAAGCGCTAGTCATTTCATACTACTAAGCACTGTGTATTTAGAGGTGATTTGTTGGCAGATGTAGTTTTAGATTGCTTATTTCAATTAAACTGTCTGGTAAAACGTGAAAATGGTTTGAAACATCTTGAAAGTTGATATCTTTCCATTTAAGACCGTTTTACAAATGAATGTTAGTGTGCTAGTAACTGCTAGGTGATCTGAAGTCATTCTATGCCCAGTTACGAATGAATGTATTAGTTCTGTATGAGTGAGGGGGTTAAAACAGCTGGAGAAAGAGATACATCTAAATAATAATTGAAATTGGATATTGAAATTCTTAAAAAAATAGAAGCTTTATGTGCACACTGTCTGTCCTTTATGTGAGTAACTGTCTGTTTATGTTGTGAATCTATCCATCCATCCATCCATTTTCTTCCCCTTAATCCATTTCTGGGTCAGGGGGGTGGCAGTCAGAGCTGCACCCAGTCCACTTAGCACCAGCCCCTCACTGATCCTCCTGCAGGTGGTGAGTCCACAGGAGCGGAGATCTTTCAGTGGGAGCTTCAGGCAAAGTGGGGGTAAGTGTCTTGCCCAAGGACACAACGACAGCAGTCATCAGTGGGAGTCGTGAAGTAGGTCTTATGGTGGGCTTGAACCCACGACCTTCAGGCCCAAAGGCCAATGCTCTACCAACTGAGCTACTGTCGCCCCTGTGTTGAATCTACAAACTCAAAATCTCACATATTTCAGTAAGGAGTGGGTACAACATATGTTTCCTTACCTCTGTTGACCAGAGAGAGAGAGACCAGAGAGAGAGACCAGAGCGAGAGACCAGAGAGAGAGAGACCAGAGAGAGAGACCAGAGAGAGACCAGAGAGAGACCAGAGAAAGACCAGAGAGAGAGACCAGAGAGAGACCAGAGAAAGACCAGAGAGAGAGACCAGAGAGAGACCAGAGAGAGAGATCAGAGAAAGGCCAGAAAGAGAGACTAGAGAGAGGCCAAAGAGAGAGAGACCAGAGAGAGAGTCCCAAGCCCAGAGAGCGTTCTGTGAATATTACAAAGCATTCAAACCCTTCATGTAATAAATATATGGAGTAATTATTATAAATGTTAGAATAACGATTAGTCAGGACTCATTAGCGTTCAGCAAAAACACAGAAGTCCAAGGTGTTAAATAAGATCAGTCGCTTTAACAGTGAAACAGTAAAACTTCATATCTTTTCTGTAAAAGTGCAGAGAGTACATTTGTGTGGATTAGCTCCGACAGTGAGACTTCAAACACTGCTGTAACAGGCTTTAATCTGACAAGACTGAGACTCAGCCTCAAAGTCCCAGAAACCAGACTTCACTGAGGATTTAAGCTAAGTTTAAGACTCAGACTAGACACGGACACCAACAAGACTACATGGTGCTCTCTCTCTGGCCTCTCTCTCTCTCTCTCTCTCTGGTCTCTCTTTAGTCTCTCTCTCTCTCTGGTCTCTCTCTGGTCTCTCTCTGGTCTCTCTCTGGTCTCTCTTTAGTCTCTCTCTGGTCTCTCTCTGGTCTCTCTCTCTCTTTCTCTGGTCTCTCTTTAGTCTCTCTCTGGTCTCTCTCTGGTCTCTCTTTAGTCTCTCTCTCTCTCTCTCTGGTCTCTCTTTAGTTTCTCTCTGGTCTCTCTCTGGTCTCTCTTTAGTCTCTCTCTCTGCTCTCTCTCTCTGGTCTCTCTCTGGTCTCTCTCTAGTCTCTCTCTGGTCTCTCTCTGGTCTCTCTTTAGTCTCTCTCTCTGCTCTCTCTCTCTGGTCTCTCTCTGGTCTCTTTCTCTCTCTCTCTGGTCTCTCTTTAGTCTCTCTCTGGTCTTTCTCTGGTCTCTCTCTAGTCTCTCTCTCTCTCTCTCTGGTCTTTCTCTGGTCTCTCTTTATTCTCTCTCTCTCTCTCTGGTCTTTCTCTGGTCTCTGTTTAGTCTCTCTCTCTGGTCTCTCTCACCATATGAGGATCATACAAAGACCATATGAGGACCATGTGAGGACCATATGAGGACCATATGAGAACCATATGAGGACCATGTGAGGACCGTGTGAGGACCATATAAGACCATATTAGGACCATATGAGGGCTGTGTGAGGACCACGTGAAGACCATGTGAGAACCATGTGAGGACCATATAAGACCATATGAGGGCTGTGTGAGGACCACGTGAGGACCATGTGAGGACCATGTGAGGACCATATGAGGACCATGTGAGGACCATATGAGGGCCACATAAGGGCCAGGTCTGTCGCACTCACACAAACTACATTCATTTGAAGCTTTTGTATCTGACACTTAATAAAAATAAAAACAATAATGTGGTTCTTGGCTCTAAAGTGAAAGATTAAATCCATCACAGAATAAATGTTTATTAGGTCTGAAATAATGTGTTCTTTTATGTTCTGGTTTTAGTCCTCTTTTCTGTTAGTGTTCCATAAAGTCTGATTAGATTTGAGAACCTCAGGGACATCGGAACCAGCACTAAAAAAACTATAAACATTCAGTATTTGATTAAATAATAAAATAATAACGGCTCAAAGAGAAAACTGTGAAAATAAATACACGCATACTCTGCCCTGAACCAGCAGGGGGCGCTGCAGCACGGCCTGTTATCAGAGGGCAGCTGTGTGTGTGTGTCTGTGTATGGGTGTGTGTGTGTTTGTGCGTGCGTGTGTGTGTGTGTCTGTGTGTAAGTGTGTGTGTAAGTGTGTGTGTGTGTGCATGTGTGTGTCTGTGTGTGCGTCTGTGTGTGTGTGTCTGTGTGTGTGTGTGTGTCTGTGTGTGTGTATCTGTGT